TTATATTTAAAAAAGAAAGAAATTTTAAAAACAAAAATGCTGAAAATATATTTTAGGAAAACTAGTTGATTACAAAAACTATACTGGGATTTACAAATAGGATTAATTGCAACATTTATATATAAAAAATCATTAAATATATAAGGCCTTTAATTTTAAAATCAAATAATACGATAACTATAGATTAAAATAAGTATATATTTTTGATATAAAAATGTAAATATATATTTATTTATTTTTAAATAAGGCTTTTTAAATAATTAAAATATGATCATAATAAGTAAAAAAAATAACAAGATTAGAATTATTAAGATGAAAATTTATAGTAAAACATTTAAAGAAACAGATTTGGTTCAATAAAAAGTAAAATATATATATATATATATATATATATTTATTTTTGTAAATTAAAATAAGATTTTTTTACTGAAAAATTAAATTTAAAAAAACTTTTCGAAAGTTTTTAAAATCAAAATACTTTAAATAATTCTGATTAAGTAAATATAGATTAATAAATAATATAAAAGGTAAATATTTAAATAAAAAATTCGATAAGGATAATATTAAAATTGATAAAAAATATTATTTAATGCATTTTTGTAAAGTTTTTAGATTAAATTCCCCATGAAATTTATATAATGTGTTCTTTTATAAAAATATTTTTTAAAAGTAAAAATTTTTCAAATGACTAATTATAAAATGTTTTACATATTTTTTTATTTAAAAACTGGATTTTATAACAAATTTTAATTAATTGTAAATTTAATTTGTTTTAGAAAAAAGATTCTTTAAAAATTCATGAAAATCTGAAAATTGCTATACTAATTATAGAAAAAATTACTAAAAAATAACTTTACTAAGAATAAGACTACCCTCTAAATTAGTTTAATTCTTTCATTTAGTGTTATTTTTAACAAATCGATAATTTTTATGATAATATTTGCAATTTAAAATATCAAAATGCTTTAGAAATTGTTAAACTAATTAAAGAAAAAGACTATTTTAATAAATTCGATAACAATATTTTTAGTTTTACATATACATAATAAAACTTAGGCGTTTTAGTTTAATTAGTTAAAAATATTGAAAACCAAAGACATGTTAAAAAAATGTTTTTGATTTCAAAAAACATAAAAATCAATTTTTTTGAAAAAATTTACGAATATACATTTAGTTGGTAGATTTACACAAAAAAGCATTAAATTTCATTACATAAAAATTACTTATTTTTTCAAAAATAAAAGCATTAATTAGAATATCAGATTTAATAATTAGTTAAATTATTAATTGAATTTTTTCAAAATTCTAGAGATATAAATGAATATATTAATAAATTTAATTTACTTTAAATTATTGAATTTATAGATGTAAATAAATAAATCATAGTCTAGGAAAAAACTTTGCCTAAAAAATAAGAGGTTTAATTTTAAAATTACCTATACTTTTTTAAGAAAAAAATTACAGGATTCTATAAGAATGTGTATTGGATGAAATTTATGTTAGATTTGAAGAAATTATGAAATATTTAAATTCTTAAAAATTAAATATTATCAAATCTAGTATGTTTATTAAATAAGATTTAAATAAGATTAAAAAAAAATTAAAATATTTAAAAAACAATTAAATATAATAATTAGCTAAAAATCTAATTTAAACAACTGTTATTAAATCAAAAATTATCCTTAAATTAATCAATTTAAATTAGATTGAGTTTTAAGTTTAAAAAGCTATAGAATTTAATAAGACTGAAATTGTAAATTTTTTATTTAAAAAAATCAATTATAACTAATAAGGTTAGCTTTTTTAGGTATATTAATTTTATAAATATATTCATATGTACTTTATTTTACATTTTTTATATAATAGATATTTTATTGCTAAAATATCAAAGAGTAAATAAAACATTTTTATAAATTTTTATAATTTTATAAATAAGTTTTATAGATAATATATGTAATTTAGAGTAATTCAAGCAATGTATTATTGATAAGTCTTATTAAAAAGAGTAATTAAATAATATTTAAAAATAATAAAAAAAAAATTAGATTTTCGAATTTATTCATGTAATATTACTTAATTATATAAGATAGCTTAAAATAAAACAACTAGTTTTCTTAATTAAGTCAAAAGTAATAAAATAAAATACTTTTTTAAATAGAAAGTTATATTTCTAAGCGTATATATAAAAAGTAATACAATTTTTAGTCTATTTTATATATTAATAAAAATATAAAAAGATGCATATAAAATATTTAATCTAAAAAAGATATTCAATTTTATTTAAAAACTAAGAAATTTTAATATATGTCTTATGTTATTTAAGAAGTTACAAAATATTAATAAGAACATTAAATATGGGATTCTATTTGTTAAAGTAAATAAAAAAAAATATAAAAATGTATATATCATAAGGTATAAGGAATATTGATTAATATTAATCGCATTTTGAAAAGATAAATTTATTGTATTTTTAATGGAAAAAATTATCAGATGCATTTACTTTAATAAATTAAAAATCTCCTTCTACCGATGATTTATTTCCAATGTGGGTTAACATAATAATTCATACTTAATCTATAAAAATGCACACAAATTTAAAGTTTATTAAAAATAATAATATTATTATTATTATATTATTAATATTATTATTATTATTTTTATTATTATTATTATTATTATTATTTTATTATATATATATATATATAATATTTTATTTATTTTTATTTTATATATTTTTTTTAAAAAAATAGTTTTATCTAAACATTAAATTTAAATCACTCTTATTAAAGTGATTTATCTAAAAAAAACTTTGTTTTGTCTTCTTTAGAAGCAGCTATTGAATATATTGAAAATTTAGATTTAAAAAAAATTTTAAACTTTAATATATCATAAGAAGATAAATAAAAGTAATAAAATATAAATATTTTTAATAATGTATAAAATTAAAAGGTTAATTGAATTTCATTAAAATTATTAAAAATGAAAATAAATATATGTTTTTATTTTTATTTATATGATTTTTCATATTTAAAATATCATAATATATCCCTTGGATCCATTTTTATTTTTAAATTAGGTTCTTCTTATTAAAAATTTTCATCTATATAAAATACATACTTACTTAATTTGCGTTAAATATAAGGTATGAAAAAACTTTTATTATTAAAATAATCAATAAAGTTTTCCCATTCTTCTCCACAACTTACGATTCTTAATTAATTAATATAATTTTCTTTACATACACAAATAACATTCCTAATTAAATTTTCATAAATATTTTTTTTATCATTAATAGAAAAAGTATCTTTTATTTAAATAAATGGATCAAATAAATCTCCTATAGGTCCATAGAATACTTAAAATTATTTAACAATTTGGTGAATAGATAAACATATTCCTATATTCAATCCTAAAAAGAAAACAGTAGTAAAAACAAGGCTATTTAAATTTTTATTCTATTCAAGATTATAAATATTTTATTATTAAAGTTAATTTTATTGTTATTCAATATAATAGTTAATATAAAAAAATAATAAAATTATTCCAAAAAAAACATTAATTAGTAAATATAAGAGTTTTATTAATAATGAATTTTTAAATAAATTAGAATTAAAAATAAATTTTGTAAAATTTAACGAAAATTTCTTATCGTCTTTAAAAACTCTTATCCCGAATGTATTTTCTTTTCCTGAATCCTAAAAAGCATATGTCCCTATAAAATTTTAATCTTATAAACTGATTTCATCTTCTAATTTTTTAAATTATAAGTTATTTTATATACTTTATTGTTTTCTAATATTTTATTAAACAATGCATTATTAAATTAGTATGTTTTAATTTGGAACTTTATTAAATTTAAGGACTTATTGGTATAATTCTATGTTTATTTCATTATTCTAATATACTAAACTATAAATATATTTACATTGAAACTCATTTTTAGCTTTTTCTTTAGCAGAATTGAATAACTATTATGCTGTATTTGTATATAATTAATTCTCTGTTTTTATTTTTAATTCTATTATAAACGCATAATTATATTTTTTTTTTTCATCCTATTTAATTGCAATTAAAATTTTGCCATAAATTTAATCTTTATTATCTTTATTTACAGCTACTTATATAAAACCTGTGTTATATCTATATTTGAAAAAATCGGAATATTATTATTCGAATTGCCTTCCTATTTATAAAAGACCAAATAAAAACGATTATCTTTATTATTCGAATTGTTAGAGAGATTATTCCATTTCATTCGAAAAGTCTAAAATTTATAATTACATTTTATATTTTAGGATATATTTATAATTTATATATCTTTTTTAAAATTATTTTATAAAAATTATAACAAAAGTAAAATATTTAATATTTTAACATTTTTAATTAAAAAAGAATATATATCTTAAATTTTGATATTAAATAGAAACATTTATATAAATAAATATTGTAAAAGCTAAAAATATTAAAATTATTTGGTAAAATTGCTAATAAAATTCATATGTTTAATTTCATTTTTTTCCAAGATTGAGTTTATTTTTAACATATTTTAATTAAATTTTTATGTTTTTCGATATAGTAATTTTTATGTAAAAATTACTTAATTATGTTCTTCATTTTAATGTATTAATATATTTTTTTTGAACTCAAAGGAATTTTAATAATTAAATCTTTATTTTTAAAATAAAAAAATAACTGTTTTTTAAAAAATAATTACTTTATTTTTAAGTTTTACTTATAATAAATAATTTCAAATTAATAAATATTGAATATAACAAAGTAAAAAAAAAAAGATTTATTGAAAAAATAATTAAGTAAATGAGCTTATAGTAATATATAATAAAAAATAATATTTCTTAGACATATATAAATTTTAATAAAAAATAAGCGATTCTTTTTGTTATAATGGGAGCAAATTTTAATTAATTTATAATGATACTATTGGCTTTTTATAAGGAAGTAAAAAAATATATCATATAATATATAAATTTTAACGAAAAAAGGATCACTTTATTTATGGGATTTAAGTTAACCAAACAAAAAAGATTATATCCAGTAAAACACATATAAATATAAATATATAATTTATAATTTAAAAAAATTATAGTTCTCAAAAAAATGGATTTTAATGTTTTGCTGCTAATCCACGAAAAGGAATTATAGTTTTAACTGAATATGGATTAGATCCAAATGTATATATATATTCATACCCATAAAAAAAGATAATAAAGACTTTAAAAAGTAAAATTCAAAAAAAATGCAAAAATTATATATATTTTATTAGATATTTCATAACTCGAAATTAACCAAATCGATATATCATTTGATGGAAATAGACTTCTTTTTGTTACAGGGGTCCCAAAATATGAAATTCTTATATATGATTTAAAGTTAGATAGATTATTAGAAGGAGAAAATGCAATAGTTCCGGTTAGACACAAATTCATAAAAGCATTATTTTCTCCGGAAAGGGATGATAAATTTGCTATTTTATACCAAAATAATTTAGTTTTATGTGAAATTTTCACATCTTATGAAGCTATAGAAGATGAGGAAGTTTAATTAAGGCATAGAATTTAAAAGTAAAATTTGCTTTCTGAAAATTCTTCTTATAAAGAATTTATATGGGATGAATAAAATAATGTAAATACAAATAAAATATTATGTAACGTACGTATGTAATAATATATATTTTTTTAAAAAAAAAGATTTATTTAGCCGATGGTTTTAATGTATAATATTTGGATGGGTAAACCTTAAAACCTATTCTTCCCTATAATTATGATTGCTAATATCGTCCTGAATTCCTTGTTTTGACTTAAAAACATATTATCGTAGTCTAAGAAAATGGTAAATTTTAATGGCTTTTTAAATATGATAAAGAAAATGAAAATGTTGAAGCCTTAAAGCCTTTTAAAATTGACAAGAATTATACATATAATGACGCGAAAATAGTCCAACTAATGTATAATTAATAATACTCGAAAATATATGTAGGTACAAATGAAGGAAATATAATAATTTTACCTATTGAAGCTGAATCTAATGATATTGATGAAGAAGAAGAATAAGCCGAAAATTAAAATGATAATGATGTAAAAAAGCAATAATATAATTTTAAAAATAATATCATATATTTTTAAAAATAGTAAGATGAATAAGAAAGTATTGATTTAGAAGTTGAAGCTGATAAACTAGGACCTTTTCATGTAGGATCAGTTAGTTTTATCCAAGAATTTCAAAATTCCAATATAGTAGTTTCATGTAGTCAAAATGGCCGTTTATTTTTCTGGGATATTGAAAAAAGAGTATAAATTTCTCAATTTAAAATAAAAGGAGACATTACAAGTGCGGATTTGAGTTAGAATGACTAAGTGCTTGTTTTAGGGTCTTCTAAGGGAGTTATTAGGGTTATTGATATTTTCGATATAAGGTAGATTAGAATTATTAAGATAATTAAAGTTTTTAAAGAAAAAGGCATTTAGTAAGTGAACTTTAGTTAGGATGGGAAATTAATTGCGTGCATTTCGAATAGTTCTAAGAAAACTTTCTTTATTAATGCGTATAAAAATAAATATAATATTATTGGATATATTGCTTTATAAGCTAGTATAAATAGCATTTGCTGGAATAATTGTGCCAAATTGACTGTTCCTACAAATAAAAATGTGCTTTTTATACTCCAAAATTACTTCCTTATTTCTGTTATTGCACCTGATTGCGATTTCGAAACGAAAGATTTAAAATTAGAAAATGAAAATTGTGTCATTTATGCAAGAAAAGTGGATGCTGATTTAACTCTTATTTAGATGCATCCAAATACTGGAGATCTATTTTTAACTGGAAAAGATAAAATTCTTAAAAGATATAAATAGCCGGAAGAGCTTTTGTAAAAAATGGACACTAGAATTAAATAAGGAGGAGTGCCTTTAGAAGAATAAGATGGACATCCTTTGCCCTGTATTTTTATATATTTATTTTTATATAAAAAAAATATGTAAATTAGGTAATGTTATGGTAGTGAATTCTCAATATAATTATTTAATATCAGGAAGTTAGGATGGAACTGTATTTTTAAGAAATCTAGATAAATTATAAGATATATAATAGATAAAAGCCCATAATTGGAAAAACAAAGGTGTATGTTCATTGTGTTTTTCTAAAAAATATAAGATTTTATACACTGGAGGTTACGATGGATCCTTTTTCATTTGGAATTTAGAAAATAGGTTGATGCTCTAGAATTTATAAAATTAACAAAAAAATTAAAGCGAAAATATGTAAGAAATCGAAGATTAAGAAGATGAAAAAGTTAGGTATTACTAAAAAGTACTCGAAGAAGAATTTATAAAATCCCAAAAGGAAATAAGAGAGAAACAAAAGTAAGAAATAATAGGGAATTTAAATTCTATAAAATAAAAATTGCGTAAATTAATTTAAGATAATGAAAATGCTGATGAACTAGAAAAATTAAATAGAGATGAATTTGTTATTGATATTGAAACAAAAAATTAAATTTTGGAAGCTGGAAAATACTAGAGGCAATAATTGAAATCGTTAGCCAAAAGAGAAAATTATAAATAAGAAATTTTACATTAAAAAATAAAAGAAAAAACTTGGGATACTATGAAGGTTTAACTTAAAGGAATTAATGGACTTAAGTCTAATTAACTTTTGTACAATTTCCACATCAGAAATAGAACTGAAGAAGAGCTTTAATAACTTAAGTTTGTTAAGGAATTTAGGAGATTAGAAATTCGAGAAAAAAAATAAAGAAAAGAAAATTCTGTCCCTGAAATTATTCAAATCGAAGATTTTATCAAAAATCCTTCAGAATATATTGTTAATTCTTAACCTGGTAAGTAAAAAATGGTACTTATAGATTATGAAAAAAAAGAAGAAACTAAAGAAGATATTAAAGGACCCCATAAGCCTGGGTAAGGAGGCCCTTTAGGGGGAAGAGCTAGATAAGGTCCTATTATTTCTAAAAAAGACGAAAAAAAAGTAGAAGAAGTGAATGATGAATAGGAAAAGAAAGTCGAAGAAAAAGAAGAGGAAAAAAAAGAAGACGCAGAATTGAATGATTGGGATTATCTTTATGGGGTTATGGAGTTATTTACTAATAACAGGAAGAAAAACTAGATTGTTTTATTGTAAAATATAATATTCAAAATAAAGGAAGAATTTAATAAGGAATTCGATAAAATATAAGTTCTTAGATAAAGCTAGGTGGATTTAATAGCAGAAAAAGTGAAAAGAGTTGAAGAGATATTAAATGAATTGCGCAGAAGTGAGGATTTATTTTAACCGAATGTAAATCTTTTTGAAACTCCGGAAAATATTTTGAAAGTTGATGTCAAGGAAATTCATTTCGAGAAATATTTAACAAGAGAAGAACGTGAAAAAATGGAAAAAGATAGATTAAGGGAAGAAGAAAGAATAAGACTTTTAATGTAAGATGATGCCGGAGTGAGAGCTTTGAAAGATATGATGGCGGGAACTTTAGAAGAAAAGAAGGAGAATTTATTAGATGAAGGTCTTGATTAGGAAGATTGGATGAAAAAACCAGTAGATGAAATGAATGAGGAAGAAAGGGTGAGATTAAAAGAATTTGAGGTAAAAAATAAAGACTGGAAGAAGAAAAAGAGAAGATTAGAAAAAATTTAGAAAATGAACTTAAAAAACTTAAAAATGAAATTTAGGATATTTGTTTGAGATTTGATGAAAAATTATTATTGCTTTTTAGAAAAAAACTCGAATATAATTATAGAGTTTATGAATAGGAATTATATATTACAAGACTTTCTTTGAGTATTTTATAAGAAAAAGACACTATTTACAAAAAAGATGAATATGCTTAAATTATTACAAAATTAGAAGACAAATTGGAACTTTTGAGAATCAATATGGAAAAATTAAGTGAAAAAAGAGATGATGTAGAAGAAAAGAAAAATGGGAAAAATGAAAAGTTTGAAAATTATTTAGGAAAATAAGAATTAATGAAAAAAACTTGGCAGTAAGTTTTCCCTTAAAACAAGAAGGAAGAATAAAAAAGTAAATATAAAAATATAAAAATACACATATATGTAATAAGTATATATATATATATATATTTTTATTATTTTATATAGAACATAATAATAAATCATTTGATGATGCTAAATATAAGAATTATATTTTCTCTTTATTCGCTTTAGATCCTTATATTAGATTATCAAAATAAAGTACTATTTTTTGTTAAATAAATTAATAAACATAGTTTATTATTTTTAAAAATATATATATATATATATATAAATATATATATATATATATTTAAATATATATTTTATGCTTTTTTCTTTTAGATATAAAAAAAATTGTTGATAATTAATTCGAATCTTATATCGATTAAATAAAAGAAATAACCATAAGTTAATTGAATTAATAAAACTTTTCAAGTAAATAAAAAATATACTTTTTAATTAATAAAATAAATGTATATAAATATAGGTGAAGAAACAAAAGAGGAGCATATGAAAAACATAATACAAGCATTATAAACTAAATTTTAATACTAACATGAACTTGAAGAACTTAAATAAAATTTTGAATAAATTAGCAATTCAATTTTATTCTTTTCAGATTAGTAAAACGAATTAGGTAATTTTTATTTTATTTAAAAATAGTTATAAAATAAAAAAAATAAAGAATAATAGTTATATGAATGTATTGAAGAAAGAAAAGCAGTTGAACATCATTTAGAAAAATGCAAATCTAATATTGAAATATTATTTAGATTTAAATAAGGATATGTAGAAATTCCTTACGATACAGTAGTTCCGAAATTATAAGATGCCATCTTAATACACAAAGATGCAATTTTATCGAAGAATAAAGATATTGAATAAGAAGGAGCTGAAAAAATATAACTAATGAATTAAATTAAAGATATTAAATTAACTGTGGCTGAATTAGATTACGAATTAAAAAAAAAAGACATTGAAATAGAATAATATATTTGCTAAACGCGAGAAGTTTAACTTTTGAGAGTAAAAAAAGAAATGTAAATTGCTTTAGCAAAATAAGATACTAAAATTAATGAAGTAAATATATAATAATATTTTAATTTTTTTTAAAAAAATAATATAAAAAAGTATGCTCTTAAAAATTTATAAGATTAAATAGATATGCTTAGATAAGCAACAGATAAAAGAATTGGAATTTATGACAAAAAATGTAAAAAAATAGAAGAACAAATAGAATTTATTAGAAGAGAAAATGAACAATTAAGAGCCTAAGGTGTCAGTTTAAAGGTAAAAATATTATATACTAATTAATTTATATTTTTTTAAATAGAATACAGTATAAACAGAAGAAAAGTTTTCTGCTACTTTCAAGAAAAATGCACCAGGTACAGCTGATGACTAAACTGATATTGATTCGTTTGATAAATTTAAGTATTTTTTTTATTTAAATTTATTATTATACCTATTTTTTTTAAATGAAAGATAAATTGCAATTAATAGAAGTTTATATACTAAAGTAAAAAGATAAACAGAAGAAATCGAATTATTAAGGGAAGAGTTAGGAAAATTAAAAGCAAGAACTTTTGCTAATTTCTCGAATGTTTAAAAATGATAAAAGCAAAAAAAAAAACATTAACAAAAAATATTATTATTTTATAAAATTATGCATCTTAATAAATATATTTATATATTAAATTAAGTTCTTTTATTTTATAAAAAATAAATAAAAATTTTTAATATTAAAAATAATTGTTTAACTAATTAAAACTATAAAAAAATCTTGCTAAAAATTTAAATTTAAATTTTTTACCTAAACTAAAAATGAACTATAATAATAAAAATTTAAATGAAATTGATTAAAAACAAAACTAAGTTGATGGATAATCCTTTTTATTTAATAATCAAAAATTTAAATAATAAATTTAAAATCAGTTTGAATTGTAATAAAGCCAATATGAAGATAGTTAAATAAACTTTAAATAAACTTAAAAATAATAATTATAAATTAATAAAAAATAAGTAATCTAATAAGACAATGATATTTTTATATAAGTTAATTTTGATTATACATTTTAAAATTTTATAAACAAAGATCCTTAAAAAGATTAGAATATTATTGATAGTTTAAATCCAAATTAATAAAACAGCTTAAATTAAATATATATTTAATAATAATAATATTATCCAAATTTTTAAAATAGTAACAAAGAAGCTTAAATTTAATAATAAAACTTAAAAAAAGTAAGCTATTAAGAGTAAATAAATATAAAATTAATAATTTTAACAAAATTTTAAATTTTAAAAATAAAGTTTAAATGAATAGAGTGTCATATAAAAAAAATTAGCCAATTAAATAGAAAAAGTTAATATAAATAATAATTTATAGAATAATGCTAATACTATAATGATTAACGATCTTTCAAATTTTATTTAATCAAAAAACTAATAATTAAAATTTATTAATGAAATAGATGAAGACGATAAGGATGTTATTTTATGTGAAAGTTCAGAATAAAAAGTTAAAGAAAAGTAGTTTTTGCAAAAAACAGAATAAAACTTTGAACATTTAATGAGTGTTTTTTCTTTGAAAAATTAATAAATAAATTTATTCCATATTGCTTTTTAAAAATATTTTTTAAACGGAATAAATAAAAAGAGTTTTTAAAAAACATAAGAATGTAAATTTTCGAAAAACTATTATGTATAATAACATGATCCATATAAAACAGTAAAATTAAATATTATTAGATCAAAATTTTATGATAAAAAAAGAGATCCAAGAATAAATAAATAGTAATGATAAATTTGGTATTATAATATTAATTATATGTATTCATAATTAAAATATAAAAAATATATTATAAATAAAAATTTTTAAAGAATAGCATTATTATAATTTAAATTATATTTAAAATGTTTAATTAAATAAGAAATTATTTTTAATTCTATTATAAAAATAAATATATATAATAAAAGATAAATTATATGTATATTATCATAAATTCATAATAATATACGATAAACAAAATATTATAATAGTATAATTATTAATAGATTATTAGAAATATATATATATATATATTATATATTATATATTTTATATATATATATTTATATATATATATAAAAATTCATATATATATACTTTTTAATACAATTATATATAAATATTCTTAAATAAAATAATTAATAAAATATATTGTTAATATTATTAAAACATTTTATAAAGAAAATGTATTATTATTTATAAATAAAATAAAAATTAGTTAAATATAAATAATACTATAAATTTTATTTATTAAATTATAAAATTATATATAAAAAGGTAATTTTATTTTATATATAATAAAATATATTTTTTTACTATAAAAATTTCTATCAAATAAATCCTTTTATCTAAACTTTATAATGATTAATAACAATAGAGAAAATAGCTTAGGTTAATGTATGTATTTAAATGATGAGAAACAATATAAAGATCCAGCAACAATATTTCATTCTCCCTATTGTAGAGGTAAAAAAGATATTAATTTTAGTAATCCTTCTTTTATGAGCTCTGATGTTTTTTATCCTCAATAATATAAGTAAGCAAATTTAAAAACATCAATAACTCCTAAAAGGCCTAATATTACATACGAATAAGATTAATTTTAAAAATAAAAAAGGAATTAAATAGATAAATTAGCACAAAATAAATTTTCATCAACAAAAAAGCGGTATTCACATAGTTATTTAAGTGACTATAGAGACTATATAAATAATAATTAAAATTAAAGATTTAATAATAAATCTTTAACCCCTAAAAATTTAGTCTAAAACTAATTAAATGATTCGGACATAAAGAGTAAATATTCTTAATAATAAATTGGCATATAACCTAATAAATAATATTAAATATAAAATTAGTAAAATTTTATAAACCAAAGTAATTATAACAATAATGGAAATAACGAATTTAAAAAATAAAGTAACAATTAAATTAATATGTATCCTAATATTTAATAGTAATAAAATAAGAATACAAATTTCAAATTGTATCCATTATAATAGCAATAATATTAATAAGAATAATAATAAAAATAAAGTAAAAAAATAATAAAATACGATTAAAATAATAAATCTAAATTAAATTCAAGTGCATAATCAATATAATTAACTCCAAATAGAATAAATAATGGCTAAAATACGATTGATAATGAAGATTAATCATGTAAATCAAATAAATAATTTGTTTCTTAACTAGTTTGTAATAATTGTATTAATAAAAATATGATTGAAGAAAAAAAAGAAAAATAAAAATTAGAAAAATAAAAAGAAATTGAAGAAAACTAAATCTATTTTAAAGCTGTTTAGAATGATATGAAAAAATAATTTTTATAAAAATAAAAAGAAGATGAAATGGCTAAATTATAATTTATTTAAGATATTAAAAAATAAGTTTAAGAAAAAATTATTAAATAAAATTAAGAAAAATAAAAATTAAAAAATTTTAACGTAGAATTAAATAAATAAAAATAACAAGAAGAGATATAATCACTAATGTAAAGAGAATAAGAAAAAAAAATACATTAAAATTATTTATATTAATAGTATAAAAATCAAATAAATCAAAAAATTTAAAAAGAAAATTAATCTAAACTTGCTGAATAAATATATATGTAAAAAATATACAAAGAGGAATAATAAAAACAAATGCATGAAAATACACTAAAAGAAGCCATTGAATTACATAAATAAACATAATTTAGAAATTAACTTAATCAATAAATTCTATAAAAAGAATAAGAAAAAAAATAAAAATAATAAGAAGATATTGAATTTTATTAAATTTAAAATGGACTTATTAATGATCATAATTAAAAGGTTATTTAATGTAAATATATTATTATTTATTAATTATAAAATAATAAAGAGTTTCGAAAGATCTAATGAATAAAAAGAAAAATAACTAAAAGAATTCAGATTTTAAATAAATTAATAAGAAAACCTTAAAAAATAAAAATAGGTATATTTATTTAACTTTAAAAAAAGAATTAAAATTTAATATTTTTATTTAAAATGAATAGAAACTTATTGATGAAGAAAATAAAAAGCTTTAATTTTATTATGAAGCAATAAAAAATTAAGAAAAATAAATTGAATAATAAAGAATTTAAATTTAAAAAGAGGAAAAGGAAAAATTAATTTAATAAATCTAGAAATAAATTTAATTTAAATAATAAATGAATTAAAAGAAATAAAACGAAGAAAAAAACTTTGAATAGATGGTAATAGATTAAAACTAAAAAGAGATAGAATAATTAAAAAATGAATTAAAAAATTGTGATCAATGCCACCATAAATATCCTGAAAATAATTTAAATAAATTAAAACTATATAATTAAAAAAAATGAATAAAAGAAATTTTAAATATAAATATATTAATATTTATAGTTTTATATTGAAAAAAAAAATATTTTAAATTAAATAAAAATATATATATTTTTTAAAAAGTAATATATTATTTAAATATAAATAATATATATATATATATATTTATATATATATATATATATATGTAAACTTATAATTAATATAATTAATTTCAATATATTACTGTTTTTTTTTATATTTTAGAATTATTTAATATACATAAATTTTTTAATTTTATTTATTTTTAAAATTTTATTAAAATTAAACTATATAATTAAATGGGAAACTTATGTTGTGGTACTATACAGGACCATTAATCTGCTTTATATTCAGAATAAATTTATGACATAACATTAAAAGATTTATAAGAAATTGAATTAAATTAATAATCTTTTGAAAAATGTACTAAAACAAAAAAATTATCTTTTAAAACAACAAAATATAAAAAGCTTAAAAAAATTCATTTTAATTTACAGAAAACTCCTAAGAAATATAGCAAATAATAGCTAAAAACGACGAACTAAAGGAAAAAACATTTGATAATGCCTCTAAATTCAAAAACATGTTAAACTATTATTCTTTAATAAGTTAAAAAATCTCTATAATTGAATGGATTATAAGCCATCTAACTCTTTCAATATATATTCCTAATTTTATGAAAGAAATAAAATCGAATATATGGACAATATATAACTAAATGTAAATTTTTCGATCTTTTTATTGCAGAATGTAGCTTGATAAGGATATTTTTTCGAATTTATATTGCATTGATGACCTATATGAATTCTTAAAAGAATTAATTGAGGATAAATATTCAGATAATAATAATAATATAGTGAACTATCCTAATCTTTTCATTGAATTGGAATGTAATACGGAAACTTCTAGTCAAATAAATTCACATGAACAAATATTAATTATAAATAATAACTTATAAAAATTAAAAGCTTTTTTTAATATTTATTGTTAAGTTAATAATTTTTCAACCACTTAGAACTATTTGTAAGAAACTTTGGGAAATTCGAAAGTGTTTAATTTATGGGTTTAAATGTTTCCTTTTGCACATGAAGTTCCAGTTTAAGAATTTTGTTGTTGTTATGGCAGTTTATGTAATGTTCCTGAAGAATTAATTTAATAGATTATATAAAAAAATTTACTTCCGAATACATAGGTGATAGATGCTTTCGAATTTTTACTTTTTGTTGATTAATACATTTTTTTTTTTGATGAAAATGGTAAAATAAAAGAAAACTAAATTTAAAATTTGTCAAAAATTTTTAGTGATAAAAAACATTTCGGACCTTTAAAAATCGCCAAAAATACATATATTTTTTATCCTTCAGGAGTAATTTTTTAAGGTACATTGGATTCAAAAGGTTTTAAATAGGGTTTAGGGAAATTATCTAAAGAAGATATTTATATTTTTGAAGGGGAATTTTAGGATGACTTGGCTATAAATAAAGGGAAGGAAACAAAAAATAATTGCGAATATATAGGAGATTTCAAAAACGGTTTATACCATGGTTTTGGTGTTTTGAAATTTCCAAATGGAAGGGTTTATAAGGGAAAATTTTATGAGCATTAATATAATGGGTTGGGGGAGCTTTTGAATGAAGATGGAATTCTATATGTTGGTGATTGGAGCTTTGGAAATTTGAAAGAAGGAAAAATTATTTATTAGGATAATTCCTATTATTAAGGAGAATTGAAGAATATTTATTTTAGAAATGGAGAAGGTAAATATTACAATTCAAAAGGGAATATTATTTTTAATGGAATTTGGAAAGACGACTTTCCGGTTTAGTGCAAATTTTTTAGTGCTTTAAAAGAGGATAAGCTTATTTTTGAAGGAAATTTTAATCAGTTTCATATTTCGGGCTTAGGTGTTAAATATTATGAAGAGGGAGTTTATACAGGATATTTTTTATAAGATTGTAAAGTCTAAAAAGGTACTGTTTAGTATTTAAATGGTAGCAAGTTTGAGGGTTTTTGGGTTAATGATATGTAGATCAATGGAACATTTTTTTACGATATGAAGATTTTGGAATATTTTTATAAAGGAGATTTCATAAATGGGGTCCCATAAGGAAATGGGGTATTTTAGTATCCTTCTGGAGGAAATTATGAAGGGGAGGTTAAAAATGGATAAAGAGAAGGGTTTGGGATTTATGTTTATGCGAATAAAAATAAATATATAGGGCATTGGGTTGGTAATAATTAGGAGGGGGACGGAAAATTTTACTTTTTGGAAAAAGATGCCAATTATGGAGATGTTTATAGTGGATAATTTTCAAAAGGTAAATTTTAAGGGTTTGGGTAGTATATTTATGGTAAATCAGGGAAACAATATATAGGTTTAGTTTTTTTTATTTTTTATTTTTTTATGTTTTTTAGGATATTGGTAAAAAGATAAATGGCATGGAAATGGAAAAATTATTGGAAAAGATGGAAATATACTAAAAATTGGATTTTGGTAAAAAGATAAGTTTTTTAAATAAATTAATGAAAAAAATCTTGGATTTCCTGAAGGGTGGGAAAAATATATTGTTAAACTTAATTAATGAAAAATAATGAAAAAGTTTTATTGAAGAAGATATCTTATTTTAAATTATATAAAAAAAAAGATGCTTTCTTATCACTTTTATGTAAAAAAATACTTTTTGATTATAACATATATAAAAAAATTACTTATTGACTATAAAATATATAATAAAATTAAATTTGTTTAAAAATATATTGTTTATTATATAATTTATTTTTATTATAATTTTTAATATATTTTATTTTAAAAGTTTATCTTAATAAATACGTAAGATAATTATTATTTTTTGTTTATAAAATTGTATTGATAAACAGTAAATTAAATAATTATTTATTTCATTTATCTTTTTTGGCTTTCCATTCTAACAATTTATATATATCTTTATCACTATTTTTAACAATTTCAATATACTTATCTATGATAAATCTTTTGTTATAAAAATAAAAATTAAAAAAATTACCTATAGTAGCATTAGATTTAGCAATACCCAAAGTAACCCTTGCCCTATCTACTAACTTCCTATCTTTTTTATCAGGCTTTTCAGTTCTTGCGCCATCAAAATGTTATTTATAATATTCTAAAGATTTCGGAACATTTCCTTTTTATGCATAAAGTGTAGCCAAATGTAAAGCAGCATCAGACTATTTTTTTTTTTTTAAAATAAAATTAATTTTTTTAAAATAAATTTTAAAATCTAAAAGAATATTACTTAAGAATTATTTAAATGTAATTTTTCAGCATGTTCTATGTATTTTTCTAAATGGATTTAAGCATCATCATTAGCATTCATTTTTAAATAACATTTAGCTAAAGCAGCATGTGCTTCCATTTGTCTTTATTTTCCTTCCTTTTTTATATATACATATATTTTTCATTTTTTAAATAAACTTCTGAATTCATTGGTTAGTAAATTTCAAGATATTTTTTTTAGAAATCAATAGATCTTTAATAATTGCCTATTTTATAATAAAGAAGTCCTATTTTATGACAAATATTTCCTTCATCTTCTTCTTTATCTGCCTTTTTGGCTACATCTAGACATTTTTCATAATAATATAAGGCATTTGAGATGTTTTCGCTTTCCCCTTTTTCAAAATTTTAAGCTACCTTATGGTAAATTTAAATTAATTCTTTTGAAATTAATTCTACTATAGATTACTAATCAATAGCTTCGGCATCAGCCAAACTTTTTTCTAAAATTTCAATGGCTTCTGGCGTTTTATTTTACCTATCAAAACATTTACCATAACCCAATTTTCCTTTTCCTTCCGAAATTTTATCTTCGCTATCTTTAGATATAGAAATGCATCTTTTGTAAAAAAATTAAGCTGTTTTGTAATCTTAGAAATTATCAAAGAAATTTTCGGCGAGTTTAAAATAACCTTCTATAGCAGAAGATTTATCACTGTAAATATACTTTGTGGCATCTTCAGCTTCTATCAAATCTTTTTTTAAACTTAATAATTTATCCTCTTACTATTCCAAAAGCATACTTGTTGTATATCTCTCTAAATTATCACTATCTTAGGGAGTTTATGTGATATAGAAAAAATCTATAAATGATTGTACATATCCTTCCTCTAATTTTTTATTTTAATTTTTTTAATAATAATTTTTTTTAAATTTTAACTTAGTATATCCATTGCTAATGTTTGCTTATTCACTTTTCCAGTAAATTATATTTCTTCATCATTTCCAACTTATTCGACGGTTTGTTTTCCCTTTTATTTATTTTCAAAATTAAATTTGTGAGCTTTTTTTTTACTTTTCCATGCTTTTTTTAATGTATACTTATTTAAATATTTTCTTATTATTCGCCATGCATACTAATAATATCATTATTTGTTTTTTGATTTGTCTTTTTTTATGGCATTTTTACTGGCGCAAACTTTTTTTCACGCTTTTTTTTTATATAGTTGAAAAAAAAAAAATATATATTTTATTATTTTACACTTGCCATTTTTTTTATGTTGAATTTAATTTTTTTATTTATTTTTTTAATTTAAAAAATAAAATATTATAAACTCAGTTATATTTATTTTTAATAAAGATAATTAATTATATATTTTATCAACTTTTTTTATTTTATAAACTATTTTTTATTTAATTTTTTTTTATATTTTTGCTTTTTATTTATAATTTTTATAATTCTTAAAAAAAAAGCCATACATCTATTCATATAAAAATTGATTAAATTATGTAATTTTAAATTATAAAACTTACTTATGTTTAAAGCAAAAATGTAAAAATTAAAAAATATCATCTTTTCTTATAAATGCAAGGTTTTAATAAAATTTAAGAAACTTACAAAAGATTTTTAACATGTTCTCTTGGAAACTTTTATCTTAAACTTTTTATGAAAATCTGATTTAATTTTTCTACTTTTGTTTATAATGTATGGTTTTTTTAATCTAAATCAGATATTTTTAGAAAAATCAAAAAACAAAAATAACTATTTGGAACATTTTTCCTAACTAATTTAAAACCTAAATTTTCAATCATTTAAATAAATAAGTCCATATTAGTTATTCTTGAATTAACTTCAGTAATCATTAAATGTCCTTTTTATTTTAAAAGTCTTTTAGCTTCTGTTAAAAACTCTATATAATTAGTTCCCATTAAAGCTAAACAAAAAACAACTACATCACAAAATTCATTTTCTAAAGGAATATTTCTACTGTCTGCAACCTAAATAAAATCTTTATGTGAACATAAATCAAAGCTATATATTTTTTTTTTATTTTCATTTTGGAAATTTTCATAAAGTAATCCATCACCACATCCTAAATCAGCTATAACTCTAAAATTATAATTAAAACATATATTTATTAATTAATTACGCATTTTTATAAATTTAATTATTTGATATTTCATTTATAATTATGTCAATTGGTTTTTCTGACCATTTTTTAATTTAGCTTTAAAATCCTTTATGATACTATTAAATAATATATGAAGTTTTATTTTATTTATTAAAATATATATTTAAACTAATAAAAAATCTTCTTAATTATCTGAAAAATGCTTTGCTGATTCTTGACTTGATTTTGTATAAAAATATTCGTTAATCATTCGGAATTTAGATCCTTTTAATATAATTTTAAAAATTTAAACTCTTATTTGTATAACCGAATAATTATTTTCTTTTGTTACCAATTAAATTTTCATCCACTCTATTTTTTAGATTGTTTTTTTATTAATATTTTTATTTTTTCTTATTTTAGTTTTAATTAATTTAATTATTTTAATTATCTTAAACATTTTAATTTAATTGATAATTTTTTCTTTTTTTAATAAATGTTTAACAGTTTTAATTTTAATGTTTTATTTGATGTCCTTATTTATTATTGTTTCCAAAAGATATTTTATTAAACATTGTTAAATCAAACTATTTTTTATAAAATATTAATTTTTATACTCTGAGTAAATAAAAAAATATTTATTTATTTATGTAAAAATATTTTTATTAAAAAATATAATTATATATTATACAAAATAACAATTATTTATTTTAAAAAGAAATCATATATAATAGTTTATTTTATAAAAAAAGCATAAAACATAAATAAATGGACTCTCTTCTTTTAATATTTTTTATTTTTTTTTGCCTATTAATTGGTACATTATTACGAGAAATAAACAAAAAAACTAAATTTCCATATAATCCGATGCTAATAATTTCCGGCATATTTTTAGGCTATTTTTACACATAAATTGGTATTATAGGAGAAGCCACATAAATAATACTTGAGATAAATCCACATGTAATCCAATAAGTTTTTATTCCCATACTTATATTCGAAAGTGGATTTAATACTGACATATATATATTTAAACGATCTTTTATAAACATTTTTATTCTTGCTGTTCCAGGAGTACTAATAAATGCAATTTTATTAGCTTTTACATTAAAAATAATACTCAATTATGACTAAGAAATATCATGGTCAGCTGCATTTACAATAGGCTGTATTTTGTGTGCCACTGATCATCTTTCTATAATAAAAATTTTAAAACAATTAGGTTCGTCTATAAGACTATATACATTAATTCAAGGTGAAAGTCTTCTCAATTATGGAACCGCAATGACTTTTTATTAACTTTTTTTAAATATAGAAAAAAATACGTAGAATTCTTTTTAAGAATTAACAATTACTTTTTTTAGATAAATAATAGGGGGACCACTTTTAGGTATTTTTGCAGGATTAATAGGTTCATTTTGGATTCGAAAAATTATAAGAGATGATGTACTTACTTCATGTGTGACTTTTATAACATGTTATATTTGTTTTTATATTGCCGAGTTTACTTTTTTGGGTGTTTCGGGTATTTTAGCAGTAGTTTTTTTGGGACTCTTTATGAGTGCTTATGGAAAGACGAAGATCTATCCAGAAAGTGAGCATGCTGTACATACAATTTGGTCATTTGTATAATATGTATGCGAAACTTTAATATTTATTTTTTCTGGAATAATAATTTCATTTGAAATGATTGGTCATTCGACAATTCATTTAGATGATTGGATAAAATTACTAATATTTTATATTATAATGATTTTTACTAGATATTTAATGATTATGTGTTTTTACCCTTTTCTTAAAATATTAGGCTTTGGAATTTCTAAAGAAGAAGTATATGCACTTGTTTGGACAGGTTTGAGAGGTGTTATTGGTTTGACACTTTCTCTTATGGTTATGGTAGATGATAATATAGGAAATGTTAGATTTAAATAGCTTACGATGTTTTATATGGCAGGGATAGCAAGTCTTACTTTAATTATAAATGGAACAACTTGTGGGTTTTTTTTTTTTTAAAAAAAATATTATATTATTGAGCATGTATTTAATTAGGTTTGTGCTTAAAAAGTTGAATTTGATTTAAATTCCTCATATTAGGAAAAGAATATTGCATAATTCTTTAAAGGAATTAGTTATTAGTTGTACTGAAAAAGAAAAAAAGCTAAAAATTAACACTTATCTCTAACTGGCAGATTGGGATAAAATAGAATCAATGTCTGGTTTATAGGATATTAAAGATAATATTTAAAGACAAGAATAGAATATCAAAAATTATAATAGAAAGTCATCTTATACTGGATTTAATGATGTTGATATTTTAACTGAAATTCGTTTTAAATTTTTAAGAAATCTAAAAAGACTTTGTTGGGAATATTATGATAAATCTTAAACCAGTTCATAAGCAGCGAATTTATTAGAAGAAAGTATAAATATATAATTAGAAAATACAAAAAAGCCTTTATAATTATGGGATATCATATACATGAATTTTATAAATTATAAAATAATTTAATTTATGTTTGCAATTAATAATTTACCTCTAATTGGTATTTTTACAAAAAAAATATTTTATAAAAATAAATATTAAAAGGAAGAATTGCTAAGAAATATTTAACACATCATCTTGCTTTTATTTATGAAGTATCTACTACATTTATAATAATTGGAAATTAAATACAAGAAGTTTAAAAAGAATTACCTTTAAGAAAAGATTTTCTAAATACAGTTCATCATGAATTGTAATTTAATATAAACCAAGCCAAGAAATACATATCGGAACTTTCGAACAATTTTTCTGAAGTAATAAAAGCTATTCATACTAAAAGAGCAGCTTTCAACCTTATTTAATTCTAAAAAAAATTTTAAATAAATATATTAAGAACGGATATATAGACAAAGAAGACTACAATAATGTGTAAAAAAAAGTAGATTAAAATTAAATTTTATTAGAAAATATGACTTTCGAATGGTCTATCCCTACGTTTTAATAATTTATGTTATAATTTCCTTTTTTTAGTTCTCTTACAAGTAATTAGTTAAAAAATTTGTAAGATACTTCTAAAAAAGAAACTTTTCTATTAGGATAAAAATTATATGAAAAAAATAAACCTTTTGATGGAATCTATATTATTACAGCAGGAAATGTAATAGATAAATTAAGTTTAGATTATTCTTTAAATATAGGAATCGGGGGTATTTTAAATTTTGCAAATTGCACTCTAATGAATAATTAAATGTCTGTTTCTACTGCAATTGCTTCAATAGAAACAAATGTAATTTTATTACCTTTTAGTATTTTTAAATAAATTATGGAAGAGAACTTTATTTTCTAAACTAAAATATATCTCAGATCGATTATTTATTTCGTTAAATTATATGATGAAAGGGCAGGCCCTTTGAAAAATATGGAAGAAAACAATCTAAATGAATATTGTTTAAGATCGTAATTTTATATATTAAGTAATAACTAAGTTATTTATCTTGAAAGTGGAGGTTATATTATAAATGGAGGGATAGAGTTGGTTAATGTATTGGAACGATCAAAGTTTCATTAAATATCTGATTATACTTATATTCCTCCTTGTAATAAGTAGTATAGAGCTATTAAATAAACTTACTTGTTTAAATTCGAAATAGAATATTTAGATAGAAACTCTTACTAAGAACAAGCAATTGTTAACAAAAATAATGATTTTAATTATGAGTTTTAAAATGAGAAATACAGTGAACAACTTTTAAAAAATTCATATGACACATAAAATTACTGAAATAACAAATATTATTTAATCTAATAATAAAGTAAAAAAATAATTAAAATTTATCAAAAGTATTATATATAATAAAACTGTTTTTTAAATCTTCATTTTTATTTAATTTTAATTTTATGTTTTTGTAATTAATATTAAAATTTTTAATTTTTTTTTTTTTAGAAAAATATTTTATAAATTTTGATTAATTGCATATTTTATTTTATTTAATATGGAATTTATAAAAAATGGTTTTGCCAAAAAAAGCTTAATCAACTTAAATATTTAGCATTTATCAAATCTTTATCTTTTATAAAATCCTATTGTAAAATTAAAATGACGATTAAAAGGTAAATTAAAAATATTATTTATAATAATAGTTTTTTATTTTTAAACAAAAAAAATATAAATATTATTATATTTTTATAAAAATGAAGATATATTTACTGGTTTTAGTATTTACTTTTACTATTTTAGCAAATAAAATTGAAACTACTAATTAATTAGTTTACAAATATAAAAATAAATAAGAAGAATAAATAAATATATAGATTTAACAATATATTACTATTTTTGTAAATATGTTAATTATTTGCTTAAAACAATTCAATTAAAAAAATTGTAAAACATACTAAAGGTAAGAATATAATATATTAATTTTTCTTCATATTTCATAAAAGACGTTTAAACGATTTTTATCGTCATTGTAGACGTGTAAATAATTGTATTGGTAAAGAAAAATTATAAGTAAAATTATTTTTATTTATTCATATCTTAAGTATTTTAAAAAGAATTTTTTATTATGTTTTGTAAATATTTTAACTTAAAAATAATTTAATTTTTTAATGCTTATTTTCAAAAAGTTTTTTGTAAAAGTAACTTGACTGACAATGTTCCTATTATGAATATTTTTGCTGAAAATAAACATAGCAAATAATTATTATTACTTTTTTTTATTATATGCATATTAATTATCTTTTTTCTCTTAGGTTTTGTGTATAAACTATAAATTTTCCATTTATTTTTTGGTTAAAAATAACATAACTATATAAAAGTATATTTTAAATTAGAGATAAAAATAATAAAAGTTTATTATAATTTAGAATGAAAATATTTCAATATCAATTAATAACGAAAATAAATAATCAGAAAAAATATGAATAAAAATAAAATTATATGTAATAATATTAATAACTTTACATATAAGTAATATAATTATTAATAAAAATTAAATATTTCCTTTTAAATATAATATAATATAATATAATATAATAAAAAATCACCCATTTAATTTTAGTTATGAATAGTCGTGATTATAAGAAAGTAATTCTACCAAAAAATAAAAGTAATATAGATGTTTTTAAAGAAAATTTATAGTTAAATAAACTAAATATATTATTTTAACCTAGTATGACAAAAAGCTCAAAATTTTAAAAATATTAAGAAAAAATAATGTATATTTCAATTAAAAATAGTTTAGTTATCAAGATAATACAAATTTATTAGGTAATAAAATTAAAACGATAAAACAAACTATTTAAATAAAAATTAAATAAACAAATAATTGAATTTTTTGCCTTTAATTTAAATTTAAATTTATTTTAGTTAGTTCTTATTATAAATGTTATTTTATTAAAATTTTATTTTATTTTTTATGTAAAAAAATTACAATTAAAATAATTTTTTTTTTACTTTGAATTTTTAAATATTATTATTAAAAATATTCTTTAATTAAAATAAAAAAGGATAACAATTAAACAAAAATAAAAAAAGATTTAAAAATGGATACAATCATAAAATCATTTGAAGCATAAAAATAACTTCAAAAGAAATATTTAGAAAGCAAATAAATAATTTAATTCGATGACGAAAAATATCATTTAAAAGACGAAACTGAACAAAATATAAACGAAAAGCTAATGAGAAAAGAACTTACAAATTTAGGTTTTATAAATTTATAAAGGCTCCCTTATTGCAGCGAAAACGGTATATATTTATCAGCTAAAGATAAGAAAACATCATTACGATATGCTATTAAAGGTATAAAAATAAGTGAAAATAAAATTGTTAATTAGTATAACCTTGATATTGCAAAATAAGAAGAATTAAATTTACTTTATTGTGACAGTCCTTATATTATTAAATGTTTTGGTTCAATTTAAGGAAAGGATTTTTATTATCTTAAATTGGAAGAATGTTTAGCTTCTTTGGCTTCAGTTTAAGAACCTTTTAATGAAAATTCATTTATTAAATACGCTTCAGAAGTTACAAACGGTTTAGCCTATTTACATACAAGAAAAATTATTATTTCAAATTTTAAGTATAATCAAGTACTTATTAATTAATAAGGAGTTGCTATTTTGAGTATTTTTTAATAAATAATTATAACATCTAAAAAATATTTTTTTAAAAAAATTATTTAAAAAAAGGTGATATATATTATGAATAATTAATTTCTTCACAATAATAATCTTCTTCAAAGGTAAGATAATAATTATAGTTAATTCCTTCTAAACTAAAACAAACTTAATAACAATTGAAAGAATAGCAATAAAAAGTAATAATAATAATAATAATAATAATAAAGAGAATAATAATAATAAAAAGAACAATAATAAAAGGAATAATAATAAAAAGAATTGTAAGTTGAAGAAAAAAGAGTTTTGAAACATATATTTAAGATGAGCAAGAAGCTTATTTTATTCAAAAACAAAGTAAAAAAATAATTGTTTTGCACTTGGTAAAATTTTATATTAAATGTTATGCGGAGACGTAAAAGCATAAGAAATTAATTAGTCTTAACCTTTTTATATTGATTATATTGAATAAATACATAACTTTAAATATAAATAACAAATTAATTATGTAGTATTAGGGCTTCTTTAACATAATTAAAAAAAAAGAATTAATTCTCAAGCTGCTTCTATAGTTCTAAATAATATTTATTTTTATGAAATTAGTAGATTTAATTATTATATAGATAATGAATAACAGTAATCCTTAAATGCTAATAAAAATATTGAATTTATAGAAGTTTAGAATAGACGATATATCCCTGTAATTTCTAAACAAAGAAAATCTATTCATAGATAAGAAGAAATAGAATATAATACAAGAAGGGATGAAGGAAGTTTCATAAAAGATAATTCAAGCAGTCATAAAAAATCACCTAATGATGATAATAGGCATAAGTAATAAAACAACATTAAAGATAAAAGACTTAAATCTAATGCAAATTAAAAAAATGCATAAGAGAATTCCATTAATAATATTAGCAATAGCAATGTTTAAAATAATCAGGTTAATAATAATGGAAACATTTTTGGAGATGAGTAAATTCTGAAATCAATAAATTCTAATAAATAAGCATACTAAGAACATATGGAAAATTATTCAACATAATTATAAAAGTCAAACAACAAAAGTAAATCAATTAATAGAGTGGACAAACAAGTATTTTTTATTTTTTTTAATTATTATGAAAAATTAAATTTACATATTTTAGAAATAAAAGGAATATAGAGAATAATTGATGAATAAATGTGTTGAATAATGCAATAAATATTTATAAGAAATGAATTTTAAATAAAGATATACAAATTACGTAATTTATAATTTTTTATTTATAAAAAAGGTTCAATAATATTGAATATATTTTAGAATAATATTGATATAAAAATGGTAAATAATTTTATAAAAATTAAAATATATTATTTGTTATAAAAAGCTTGCAGAAGTAAAAAATATTAAAATAAATTATCAATAAATACAAATAGTTTGTAAATATTATTATTGATATATAAGAAATAAAAAAATAAATATAGCAAGTAATAATCAATAATTAAAATTATTTTAAAAATATAATTTTTAAAGAATGTAAAAAAAAGATATAACTTCTAATTTTTAAAATAAAAAAAATAAGAGAGTAATTTATAAGATAAGAAGAAAAAAAATTAAATTAATATTAAATTTAGATCGTAAAAAAAAATTAATATATATATATATATATATATATATATATATCTATATATATATATATTTATATATATATAAATATTATAATGAAGAAAGTAATGAATATCTAATCAATTTTTTATAGATTAAATTAATAAAAACAGATAGTAATTAATTAATTTTAATATTTTTTTTTAAATTTAAAATATTTTTATAAAGGGAGAAGTATTTAATATAAACAAATAACTATTTTTAAAGTTTAAATTATTATTAAAGGGAGATGTAAACTCAAAAATATAATGAAATTAAATTAAATATCAAATTATTTATAGAAAGTAATTTATAAATTAACTGATTTAAATATTCAATTTCTATAACTTTATCAGCTAGTAAAAATAAATATATTTTAATTAATTTTTTATTTCTTTTAGTGGGTATTAATTATATTAAGAATAAATCTTTAAATTTTAAATATAATCAATATAACAATAGAAAGTAAATTAAATAAAATTATTTCATTTAATAGTATTTATATTTTTAAGCATGTAATTAAAATTAAATATTTCTTTTGGAAAATTTATATACTTATATAGATTGTAGACAAATAATATAAAAAACTTATATAAAAAAATAATTAATGATAAACTAGCAAGTAATAGATATAAATTTTATTGTTCAAAAAATAAAATTTCTATATTAAAGAGAGTATATACTTAAGCTTATTTGATTAAAATTGTTTATTTATTATTTAAAATAGTTTGATGTAAATATAAATTTTAAAATAAATATAATAAAATTTAATTAAATTTTATAATTTTAGGAAAATTACACGAAAGCAAAAGAGTTACTTTAATATTTTTAAGAAACTAAAAGATAGATAGATGAATTTTAGTGACATCAAATATATTTATAATTATTATAATAAATAAAAATTTAATGATAAAAAAATAAAAAATTTATATTAAATTTATTTTAATATAAAAATTAAATTTTATACTTATTTTTATTTATATAATTATAAAATAAATAAAAATAAAAATGTTATCTTAGTCTATTCCAACTAAAATAGTACCTTCTAAATGGGTTTTAAATATAAATCCTCCTTAAATTGGTTTAGTATATAAACTGAATGAAAAATACAAAAAAAAAAGATTATATATAATAGAATTAAATGATTTAATTAATATATAAGATAATGTAAAAATTGCTAATAAATTATTTGAAGAGCATCCCCTATATTTAAGAAAAAACTTAATAAAATTTGAATAAGTTGTTGGATTAATATAAAAAATTAAAGAAGGAATTTAAAGTAAAAAATAAAATAAATATATTTTTTTAAATTTTTATTAGCTTGTAATGAAAATGATTTTGATCCTTATAATTAATAATTTGAAGAAATTTCCGACAATGATTTAATTTGATTATATTTTTAAAAATCATTTAAATTATTTATTATATAAAAAATCAAAATTAAAAATCAATCATTTAATAAAAAAATTAAATTAAAATATATTTTTCTTTACTAATAAAGATTTTTTACAAATAAATAATTTATTTATATATTTTTATTTAATTTCATATTTTAATTTCTATAGGTTAAGACTTGTTTCCACTAGTTGTTAGAATTATAGGTTTCTCGTTTATATTTTCTTCACCTAAAACAGCTTATCTTAATTATTATTCAAGGCCTTATATTCTTTTAAGTTCTATATCAATACATTAATTCATTGTTTTATATTATGTCTCACACCCTTAAATACTTAAAATTAATATTTAATTTAATACTAATTTAAATGTTTTTTTTAGAAAATACTCTATATTTCTCCTTCTATTTTCTGCTGCTACGACTTATAAACTCATACAATACTATAAATCGCATGCTTAATCTCTACATATCTTAAATTAAATAAAATAAAATAAATTTTAATAATAATTTTTGGATTTTAAATTTTTACTAATTCAGCAACCGTATTATGTGTTATATTTGGAGAACTTTTTATTTAATTAATATACACATTTGGTGATCGGCATATACTATATAGTTCTAAATGGTGCTTTTTATCCTTTTTTCTATCTAAATCTTTTTATACATTAATCCATAATTAATTATTATTATAGGGATCTGAATAATATGATTTTTAATATCTTTGCCAATATCTTTCTGTCATTTTAATTTTTTTTAATTTAATTTAATTAATAAATATTATTTTACTATATAATAAAAAATTCATAATAATTTTATTTTTAAAATTAAATATTTTAGAAATGTATGTTTAATTAATAAAATATTATTTTAATTTTTAATATGAATATGAATATGAATTAAAAATTCAAAAAAAAATATATATAGTATGGAAAAATATTTTAATTGCTTATAAATCTTATTTTTGTAATTTATATTAATAATTTAAAAAATTAGAAAAATAAAAAATTTTGAAAGTAAATATTTTTTATAAGATATAAAAATAATTATTAAATAAATATAAATTTTCAATTAATTTATTTAAATTGAGTTCTTCTAAATTATAATTATATTCATTAAACTAATCCACAGTTAATTTAATTATATTTTTTATAAGTAGATTCAAGTCGAAAATTAATATTTGGAGTATTATATTAAGTTGTGAATATAGAAATTAAACCAAGTCTTTTTATTTCTTTAATAAGTTTTATAGTTTAATACAATGTTAATACAATAAAGAGCTAAAACCATACAATTAACCCTTCTCTAAATTTTATCAATGTATTTAGCTTTTAATAGTTTTAATATCAGATTACAAATTTAAGTTAGTAATTAAACTTCCTTTTTTTAAAAATCTACGTATTAAGCAATCCCCATAATATAAATTAATATTAAGATTCATTTAGGTAAATTAGAATTTATTTGTTTTATTGTTTTCATTAACTAGCTTTAATATTTTTAATAAGCTATAAAACTAAGTTTCTTTAGTTAAAAGCAAGTTATAACTCTATCTATTGATACCAATAATTTTTTAATTATCACATAAGAAATGATAACTTTAATCAAATTTATATTTTTAAATTCCCATTTTTTTTTTTATAACTTAAAAAATTTTAAGAAAAAGTAATTATTACAAAAATTTAAATGTTTTCATTTATTTTTTTTAATATTATTAAAAATAAAAATGAACAATGTTTATAATCACTATTAATTAAAGATAAATAAAAATTTAATTTAGTTTTTTATACAACTTTATTTTTAATATATTTTAAATTTCGAATATAATTAATTATTTATTAAAACAATTGATATTTTACTAAAAATGTTTTAAAAATAATTTTTTTTACATTTTACTAAATAAATTTTAAATATTTATAATATAAAATATATACATTCAACTAAATTTAAACAGAAACATAATTTTTTTAAAAATATAGAGACTCAATATAAAAAAGAACTATTTTAACATAATCAAACATTTTATTTTTTTTAAAAAAAACTTTAAATTATAAATCTAAGAATTAATTTTCTTACATAAACCAATATTAATTATTTATTGAAATTTTATATAGTTATCACGAAATATCACTATATGGTATTTTCTCATTTGCAATTTAGTTATAAGATTTAATAAACACATCTTTATCTTCCAAAGTAATATTTTATTCTTCCAATGTTATATTATATTTAAATTCTGGACCAAAATTAAATTTTACTTTCGCATGCATATATAAAGATACTCCTGCATAATAAAAACCCTATTTAATATTTTCAAACGCTTTTCCTTAGCAAACTCCATTTAAAAAAAAGTAAATTAAACTGTTTTCATTCACTTCATTATTATTGTCTGCAACTAATTTTCCTTTATATTTAATTTTAGGTTTTGGTGGAGACATATACATTAAAACGCCTATTACATCTCCTATATTATAACCATTTCCATATTCATAACTAACTCCATTATTTAATATGTGCCCATCCCTATCTCTATAACAATATGAAATTTCTTCTGCACCTAAAGGTAATTCCATATTGCATTTATTTAGGCCAACTCCTATTCGAACATGTGGCTGTACTTCATTAAATGGTAAAGGAAGTTTTGGTGGTAATATTTCTACTTCCCAATAATATAAACCCTCAAATATTGGCATTTCTGAAAATACAGTGCACCAACCTTAATAACCTACTACAGTATTTTCTTAAACTAATTCGATTGTTTTACTTTTATATGTCTCTGATAATTTCATTAGCATTTTCTTACTTTAAAATTATTTAAAAAAAAAAAAAAAAAAAAAATATTTATTAGATTTTTTTTATTTAAATAAACTATAATATTTATAATAAATTTTCTCCAAAATTTATTTTTTTTATAAAAAAAATATTACATAAATATATTATAAAATAATGCTCTTAGCTTTTTTAAAAAAAATGAAAAAAAATAAAATTACAAATAATATTAATTATTTTGATGTTTTTTTATTTGTTCTGTTTTTTTTTTTTTTAAAAAAAAAAACTTAATCAACAAAATAGAGGTGACTGACTTTTTTATTTTAAGTTTTATTTTGAAAAAAATACAGAAAAAATAAAAAACATCATTTAAAGTAATATAACACTCTGTTTGAATACATTTTGAATTTGAAATTGTTTTATAAATATATTTTTATACTAAAGTTTTTTGGCTTTAATAAATATTAAATCATAAAAATTAAATCTAATTATCTTCAGAATGATTTTAATTAATCCTCCAAAAGTTAAATACCAAACATTCACTTTAAATCTCCTAATCATAGTCTCTATAATTTTAAAATATATATAAATTATCCAAATAAAATAATTTTTAAAAAAAATACGTAATTTATTAAAATTTTTCCTCAGCTTCTTAATCATCACTATCTAAATCATTCTCTTCAATTTCATTAATTTCAGCTTTGTTTTACTATTGAAAATAAGTGCTAAAATTCTATTATTTTTTAAAAAAAATTAAAAAAGTGTTATTTTTTTGAATAAAAAATAACATCATATATTTTTTATATATCAATTTCTAATTTATGTTCATTAAATTAATCATTTTCTTTCATTTTTTTAGGATCAGATCCTCCAAGTTATTAATCTTCAATAGTTTGTATTTTAAAAAACTTTTCATTTAAATATATACTCCAGTTTTTATTTTATTTTTTATAATTTTCTATTTCTTAATTAGAATTATCTTATAATTTTCTAGCTAAATTAGTCAAAAACCCAATATAACCTTTTCTAATACTATTTTTCATAGCTTATCCTTTACAAAATTCATCTTAAGAGTTTTATGATATAAAGTCCAGTATATTGAATTTTTCGAACATATATTTTTTTACAATATCTGATTTGTGCTCATAAATAATATTTAATCCATCAGTTATAATTTTATCTGCAAAGCAATGTAATAAATTATTCCAAGGATATTTTAACATTAATTCCTTTCAAAAAAAGAAAAAAAAAAAGTGATATATATATTAATAAAGTAATTTTAATTACTAAAATTATTTGAAAGATATTATTCTAAACAATTTTTTCAATAAAAGTTATATTTTCAGTTTTCATTATTTAAGAAATTAATTCAATTATTTTTAACTTTCCTATACTAAAAGGTATTATTTAGTCACCATAAGTGGTTTAATGACCATAGTTTTCCTGTTTAACTTAAATAATATCTATTAATTTAGAAAGATTTTCAAAAAATAAATTTTAAGCAGGCATTACTAATTTTTCATTATCAAGCTTAGCATCATGCTCTTCAGATAATTTATGTTTTATGATTTTTTATTTATTACAATAATAATATAATACTTATAAAAGATTATTAGCTTCACAAGTCAAATATTTACTTTCTAAAACTCCTTAAAAATAAATTTTTATACATTCATCATTTAATAAAAAAATTAAACAAGTTTAAATGCATATATTATTATTATTATTATTTAGATGCTATTAAAATATTTCGCTAATTATAAAGCATATATTTTCTTTTTCTACTCCATCTAATTCATTTATATTTTTTAATTTTTAATGTAATTAATCTAAAATAAATATTCTATATTCCTTTTTTAAAAAATAATATAAAATATAAATAAAATATACTTTAAATTCGTCTATTTCATTATTAGAATCAGTTCCTACATTAATCAAAAGTTTTAGAAGTATTTCAGAAATACTTTTATTTTTTATGTGCTTTACTAAATTTTGTAAAAAATTTAAATTCTCTCCAATAAATTTAAAAATCTTTTAATTATATTTGAAAAATAATTAATTCATTATTTTTGCTTTATTAATAAAAATGATTTTTACATGTCCGTTTGCAGTAAGTATATTATTCATAGCTTTATTAAAATAACCTGCCGAAGTGTCGTTTAATTCATTATCTGTATCTAAAAAACTAAGTAATTACTATATATATTCTTTTCCACTTATAATTATTTTAGGACTAATTTTTAAATCTTTAATTAGATTATCTTTATAACATTATTAAGGACTATTGTATCTACTAGCACGTCTGTTTTTATAATTTTATTTATTTTCATCTTGTTTATTTTTAATTTAAGTTTGAGCTAATTCCTTAATAATTAAAAAAAAAAAATTAAATTCATGTAATTTTTTTAAACTTTTTAATCAATATCAATGTCACTTATATCAAAAAATAAATTTTCAATTCCTTTTAATTATTACCCAAGTATTTCGCTTGATATAAAAGGATACTTATAAATCTTTTTATCGTCATTACAATCTCTTGAAGGTACTTTTACTACATAATCAATAATTTATTACAAAAATTGGTTATTGTATTATAAACTTCAAAAAAAAAGAAAAAATTATTAATTAATGAAATATTAATATTTTAAATATATTTTTACAATAATATAAATTATCCAGAGTTTTATTTTATTTCATTAATAATATTTTCGGTGTCTAAAAGTTATTCAACTGTTAATTTTTCTTACTTTAATATATTTTACAAATTTTAACAATTAGCATAACCGAAATTGTTCCAAAAGGATCTTGATTTTAATTTATAAAAATTTATGGACATAAATAAAAAACAAAGTTAAATATAATTTGAAATTACCCATAAAACATATTAATACTTTTTATTTGGTAAATAATAATTTTAATATTAAATATTTTTTAGTTATTTAATTAAATACTTAATAAAAAGTAATAATAAATTATAAAATAGATATATTTATTACTATATTAATATTTATATTTTTTTTAGTAATTATATTTTTATTATATTAAATTAATTGAAATATGTATTATATTTTTATTAAATATATTTAATTATTATAAATAAATATATTATTTATAATTTTTTTTTTTATTTATTTAAAATAAAGATAATATTGAGCAAGATTTTATAAAAATATCTGTTTAATTTAAAAAAAAGTTATTGATATTTAATAAGTTTAAATACTTTTAATTCAATTTTTTCAAACTAGTTTTACTTCATTAATGTTATTTGATTTTATTTTTCTTAATTTTTTAAATTTTTTTTAATTTAAAAATTTAAGAGCCTTCTATTTTATTTCATTAATTTTAAGGAATATATCTTAATTTTAATTTGAGTCTGGATTTTTATTTTATTCTATGAATTAAATAAATTCTTAAATTCTATAATCGCCTGCATTTTAATATTAAACTGCTAAATCTTCAATTTAGTCTTCCTTAATTACTAAAGTTTATATTAATTATTCAATCTTCTTCAAATATGAACAATTATCATTATAAATAATATTATATTATTTTTATAATTCATTATTATCATCTCTTTTTAACTTTATTTCTAAATTTTTAATGAATAAATCATGTAAACAATCATTTAACTTTTAATACATAAAATTTATTAATTTAATTTTTTCAGGATCACTTTCATTTTACATTAAAATAAAATAATGATCTTAAAATGTGTTTTATTCTTCTTTTAAATTTTAGATTTTATTTATAATTCTTTTTTATTATTCAAATTCAATTTTTAGTTTTTTAAATTAATTTTTAAGATCTTAATATTTTTATATTTGTTTTTATTTTTCTTATTCTATAATTTAAGCATCGCCTAACTAAAATCCTTAAATAATAGTTTAAACTTATTTATCTTAAATATATTATAATTTTTATTTAGTTTGAACGTTATTTTATTATTCAATCGGTATTATATTTTCAACATTTTTAATATCTTCAACCCTAATATTATTTTCTTTTTTGACATTTTATTATTTTTTTGATAACGAATTAACTTTTATAATATTTTCATTTTTTTTTTCATTTTGTGTTTTTTAGAAATTATCAATACTAATATGGTTTTAGGTATTTTTTTTTAATTATCTTAATGATTTATTTAATTGACATCAATATATTAATTTTAATTCTAATAATTTTTATCTTGTTATTATTAACTTTAATTAATAACCTATTCAGAATGTGAAAAACTATTAAAATTAGAAGAATTTTCTTATTTTTTAAATTTCTTAATTTTATTTTAAAGATATTTATTAAGATTCTCTAAACATTAAATTTCATCTTACATTCTAGAATATGAATTCTACATTTATTAAATTTGTGTTTTTAACTATGTTAATTCTGTTTCCTAATTTAAAATTTTTTAAATATTTTATTAATTTATCGTTTGAAACGTTTAATATTATTCGTTCTCTTAATTTTTTTATTCTTATATTTATTTAATTTATTTTGTTTGTTCTTGAATAGTTTATAGATGATTTTCATTCTTTTAATTTAAAGAATTAATAAATTATTCCATTTCATTAATTTTTGTGTTTAATTAATTTATTTTTGTTTAATATATTTCACATTATTTGCATTAATATTATTTTTTTTCAAGGTGCTGTCTATAATTTTCGTGAAAAATAACCGAATATTATTGTATATTTTTTTATTAAAAATATTTAAATTCTACATATTTTATAATATTTTATTCTATTATTTAATGATTTAAATTGCTTTCTCTTATTTATTATTATTATTAAATGTAGCAATCCATTATATAAAATATTAAATTATTTAAACTAAATTATTATCCATGGTTAATTAATTCATCCCAGATTAAATATAAAGTTTAAATATTAAAAATATTTATTCCAAATTAATTAATATTTCTTTCTAGGTTTCCTTTAACATAATGAATGAGAATTATTTTATCAATCAAAGAATTCAATTACAAATGTTTAATAACTAAATAGTAACTTTTTATTTGATTTTCTATTTATTCTTTTTAACAATAAATATAATTCATAAACCAAAATGCAGAGTCCTGTTCAAATAAACATAGGCAAAACAAAGCTACATGCAAGATATCATCATTATATTTTATATTTTGATTTTTAAGAAAAAATGCCATAATAAGTTAAAATACTAATTCTGAATAATTATCCATAATTTTACAATAATAAATGAATTCTTTTAACGAATAATTACAAGAGTTTTCAATACTTTTTATAATCTCAATTATTTTTTTCTTATTAGTTAATATATTCATAATATCTTAAATATTATTTTTATTTTATGTTTATAAATTTTAAAGTTTTTATATTTCGTTTAATAAACTATTATATTCATTTAAAGACTAATCTTTGTTATATATTCCTAATTTTTTAAGCCATTATTCACCTATCTTGCTATCATGATTAAATTAAATCTAAAATTATAAATAATATTAAAAAATTAATATATAATATTAATTATATTTTAAAATATATTAATAATTTTTGAAATAATAATAAATTAAACACTATTGTTTCTAATTAATTTGATTATAAAAACTTATTATTCTTTACAAATATTACAACATCTATGCTTAGATTAGATAACTACATGAAAACTTTTAATTACTATTGTGCAAGCTTTTTCCGAGCATTTACTACAAACTGCACGGATACATCTTTTGCATTAATATTCCTATAATATGATATTTTTAAATTTTTATTCACATATTTCACAATATTCTTTTATTCCTCTTTAATTATATATAGGAAATTTGATAAATGATGTATTTTCAGACATTATAAGAAAATACAAATTTAATTAAAATTTTATCTTTTTTTAATATATTTCTTAAAATTTTACAATAAAATTTAAGTATCATATGAAAATTATAATTATAAATAAATATAATATATTAATAGTTATTTATAATAATATAATATATTGTGTTTTTATAATATAAAAAACAATCTAATATAAGTTTATCTTAATAACAAATATTGTATAATAAATTTATTTAATTTATTTAATTTAATTAAATTTAATTTAATTTAATTTAATTTAATTTAATTTAATTTAATTTAATTTTATTTAGTTTAATTTTTTGTATTTTGTTAAAAATTTTTGTATTTTGTTAAAAATTTTTGTTTTCAAATAATATAATATAAATAAAACATAAAATTATTAATAAATTAATTTAAATAATTAATATTTTTATTTTTATTAAAAATAATATTTACAAAATCTAAAATTCAAATTAATAAAAATGTAATTTAATAAAATATTTTTCCGTCCTCCATCACCTACATATACATCAAAAGAGTTTAAAGGCACTGACAGGTATTTTGAGATTCCTTCAAATGATATTAAAAAAAATAAAAGCACAAGAATTCCATGTTTATTAATGCCTTATATTTTAAATTAATAAAATATATCGAAATATTATATAGTTTATTTTCATGGCAATGCAGAAGACCTTGGAACGTCTTATGACTTTTTATATGATTTAAGAAATGAAGCAAAATGTAACATTTTACTTACTGAATATGGAGGATATGGACTTTATCAATAAACTGATTCAAGTGTTAAATAAATAGAATATGATTCAGAAATAGTTCTTATTTATATTAATGAGGTATTAAAAACTCCTAAATAAAATATAATTTTGTTAGGTATTAATTATCTTACAAAAATTAATGTATGATAAAATATTTAAATATTATAAAAATTATATAATATTATAATCTAATAAATTCAAATTATTTTAAAAGGAAGATCTATGGGAAGCGGTCCAGCATGTTTACTTGCTTCAAAATATTAAGTTAGGGGGTTAATGTTGATTTCTGCATTTACTTCATTAAGAGATGTAGCTAAAAAATTTGTAGGAAGTTTTATTAGTAAAATAGTTCAAAATGGATTTCAAAATATTGATTTAATTGATAAAATATTATGTCCTATATTAATTATTCATGGAAAAAATGATAAATTAGTTCCAGTTAAGCATGCTCATTATTTAGCAGATAAAGTTAATAATAGAGTAACTTAATTTTATTAAAATAATATGACACATAATGATTATGATTTTGACAAAGATATTAAAATTAATATTTTGACTTTTCTAAAAGAAAAAATGTTTATCTACTAAGAAGAAAATGATCCGATTTTATCTAAATTTGAAGTTCTAATGTAAGAAAAGTTTATTTATATATATCCGGAATATTAATAGTTTTTTACAAAAAATGATTGAATATTAATTTATAAAAGTTAAAGTGAATTTGTAAAATTATATATTTAATAATAATTTGTTTTTTATATGTATATACATACATCAGTTTTCTTTTTTTTAAAATAAAATTTATTTTATTTTTCATTAATAAAATAACAAATAATTCAATTAAAAAAAAAAGAAAACATTAATAAAATATAAAAAAATAATTATAAATTAGATAATGTAAATATTCGGTTATTCTTCAAGAAAATTAGAAATATTAGAAGTACAGTAATAATCTGAAATTTAAAAAAAGTATTAATTCGATAATGAAAATATACAATTAGTTTTTAATAAATTAGTTTTATTACAAATTATGTTTGGATTTATTTTATTTGTTATTTCGATTACGAATTTAGCATTTCAACTATCTTCTCTTAACTTTTTAGCTTTTATTTTTTATTTTTACTAAATATCATCTGGATTGATAATAAAAATAACATATAACTTTAAAATTATTGAAAATGAAACCAAAATAAATTTACTTATCTTTTATTTGTAACAGTTTTGTGTATTTATTTTACCAATTTTAGCAATTTCGCTTATTTTTAAAGGAGAAAATTATTTTGTAGCAAACGAATTACAAACACATGAATTTTTGCGGAAATTTTAATTTTTTTTGAATATTTTAGACTTTTTTATTTTGTTTGGAGTCTTTTATTCCATTTTTAGTTTCTCATATTATAAATATATAATTAAATTTTATATATATACATCTTCAATATCAGGATTAGCAACTTGTATTTATTTGTTAATAGGATTTTTTGAAAGTTAAACTGCTTTTATGTTTATCTTTTTAATTATTTTGTTAATTTTATTAATACTTTCTAATTATTTTGCATGGTAAAAAGGATTTGCTATAATTGGTACTTTATTTTTAATTGTTACATTTTTTTTAATTTCTGTTAACGGAAGCTTTTATAGAAAAGGTTAGGAAATAGAGAAATAATTTTAAAATGATTGCACAAATTAGATTTAGTTTATCCATTAAGATTATTTAAAATAATTAGGTTGTCCTAATAAATATGTAGAGTAGTAAGAAACATAAATTTTCCCTGATTGTTTAAGAGAAAATCAATAAATTTAATGGGAAATTGATGAAGGAAAATTGAATATTGAAAAAATCAATTAGTTAAAATGCTTAAATATTAATTGTTGCGCCTTAGCTGCAACAGCATTTACTGAAGTTGAATATTTAAAAGGAAATCTATATCTATTTTTAATTTTAAATATTTTTTTTTTAATTGTTTTGTCTTATAATTATGTTTCAAATAAACTTGATGAATGTGAAGAAATTTTAAGCAAAAAGGGAGAAAAAATAACTTTTTTTATTTTCTTATTAATATTATTGTTTATAATTATTTACTCGTAAATGGTTAGTAAGAATAATCATAATATTTTAAAATAATAAATAGAAGAAAAAGACTTAAAAATGCCAAATGAAAACTCTCCTTAATATAAAATATATACTAATGCATAAGTACAGGAAAATAATGAATGTCAACAAAAGTTTGATTTTTATTACTAAAAATAATATTTGGATTCTTTCTAAAATATTGATTATACTTAAAATTAAGAAATTTTAGTTATTGTTATATCTAATTTTCTTGATATTAAAATATTATCCTCTTTTAATGATCCACATATAAAAATTTACGACAAAAATTTTTCTTAATTGTTTCTCCAGGAAAGCTTAGAAAAAAATTAATAATTTTTAGCTGCTAAAGGTAACATAGAAAATATAAAAGAGCTATTTATTTATCATGTATGTTTAAATACATAAGACATATAACAAAATTGTAAATTATTTTTATATTACATATTATAAAAGTTTTTTTTAAAAATAAGATAATTTAGTTGTAAGAGTAAATAATATTGAATAAAAATAGCTTAAAAAAAGTAGATTTTTTAAAACTCCTTAATTTGAAAATAAACCCGTATAAAGTTTGAAATTTCAGGACTTAAAATTAAAAATAATTGATTTACATACAAATGCTTTAATTACATATTAATAAATCGAAATTTTTTTATACTAAGATTTAAAATAATGCATTTAGCAAGATATAAAACCTGATTTATAATATAAAGGCTTTTAAAAGGATTTTTTTACAATAAGTAATCTATAAGTTAGTTCTTATACGATTTTCATAAAAAGTAAAGGCTTTAATTATTCTTGTGAATAGGTTGCTTTAAAAGCGAATTAATAAGAAATATTGGAAATTTATTTGAACAAAATGCTAAACAAAAATTAAATAAGAGTAATCATTTAATGGAAAAGTGAATTTGCGAAATTAAATATTTTCTCCAATTTTAATTATGGATCAAATTTAGATTGTATTACCGGATTTTTCAATCATTAATGTCCAACTTAAATTTTAGAAAGTTCAAAACAACAAAAAGTAGAAAGTATTCTTATAAATAATTTAAGTTCAAATAATTATTTATTTTTTGTAAAGCAAAACCTTAATTAAAAAGAATATGAAACGTTGATTAAAGCAGGAAAAATTAATTACAATGAGATTATGTTACATTCGGGTGCTAAAGTTTCAATTTTTACTTAAAACTTAAGTTTTCCTGTTTATCAAAGCTTTATTCCTGATTCTAATGATTTTTAAGTTTTTAAAGAAGAAAATTTAGCTTGGGTTATTGGTTGTTTTAATGGAGATTATGGTAATAAATTTTAAGAAATTAATTTGTATTGGAAATAACATAATGAAGAATTATATTTATTAAAATAAAATAAATAATAATTTCCTTCGGCCGAAATTTGCACAAAAATATATCAGAAGAACAAACACAAATGAAAAATAATATTGAATTTAATTATTCTTTATTATATTTATATTTTGTTATAGTTTTTATAAAAAAAGTTATTTTCATTTATTTTAAAAAATAAAATCGTTTGTATGAATTTTGCAAAATCAAATTACAATTTTGTGTAACTTGATGTTCGAAAAACATTATTTTAATTTTGCTTTGTTTTAGGTGATAACTCAAGATAATATACTTGAAACTATCGAAGCGAACAAAGCTTTTTTTCATTTTTTTAAAAAATTAAATTTATATACTTAAATAAAAAATAAGCATAAAATTAAAATTAACAAATTCGTAAATAAAATAAAAATTTAATTTTAAATAAAATTATTTTTATACCTAATATATTTAATAGTATAAAATTAATATATAGATATTTTAAATTTATTATCATAACTTTTGCTTTAAATAAATAAAATAATATGAAAAATTATAATAATATATTAATAAGAAAAAATATTAAAAAAAAAAATTAAATAAGGCTGTAAAGTGTACTCACTAAGAGACTATATGTCTATGATTTGTGAGATTACGGAACTAGCCAAAATTAATATATATTTGTGTAAATATTTGTGAATTAATTTGCAAATATTTTTAAAAAATATATTACATACATTTATGGAATATATAATTATTTCATGTTAATTTTATTTTCATATTCAGTAAATGTTATAAAATAAAAAATAAATTACTCAAAATTAAATTTTATAACTTTTTTTTAATTTTAATATAAAATTATTTTATTCTTTTTTTGTAAAAAATATAAAATTAATATATAATATATAAAACTTTAAATAAACCTTTATGCAAAATCAAAACGTTTAAAATTAAAAATCTGTAAAAAAAGACGCAAATTCGATAGAATAAGATGTACATTCAAAAAACGCTATAAGTGACAATAATTCACAAAATCATATAAGTCCTCATAAAAATGATGAAATATTGAAGTACGAATAATTATTAAATAAAAACATAAACTAATAATTATAATAAGATCATTATGTAGAATCTAAATATATAAGTAATAATTCTGATACAATATTATGGTATGTTTGCGTTACAACTATTTTATTAACTGGAATATTCACTATCATAATATTTTCATTATTATTTAGTTACGAATTCAAGATTTACAACTTAGTTAAGGAAAAACAAATAAAAAACGATTTTGCTTATATAGTTAGTAGCTGCTGGAAATATTATTACATCGACTTTTGGTTGTACTATAAGCAGTTATTTGAAATTTTTCAATTTTTTTTTTGTATAATATTATATTTTAATAAGTCAATAATTTTGAGAATTACTTTTACAATTCTTTTTGTCATAAACTTCGTTTTAACATTCCTTAATTTTACAAAAATTGAATATTATATTTACAATTCAAATAATTACTTAGATTTTCGTTCAGTTAACCCAAAATATAAGTATTTAAATTAGAAAGATGTTAATTATGAAAGTGACTTTAAAGGCAATTTTTAAAATTATTTTTTATTTATGTAAATTTATGTTTATTCGACTGGAATATCTATATTGATTTAGTTATTATGTATATTTTATTTAAATTCAATATATATTATATTGAATAATAAATATGGATAAACTCCTACTTATGATCCGCTTAATAATAGCACAATAAAAGTATAAAACAAATAAATTTATGTTACTATAAATCCTAATAAAAAAGAAAATGGTTTAATAACTAAAATTGAGGATGAATGCAAATATGTATGCTGAAAAATCAAATAGTATATATAAAATAAAAAAATATATAATTTGTGTTTTTTGCAAAATTAATATTTAAATGTTTTATTATTTATTATTAATAATTAATTATTTATTATTAATAATTAATTATTTTTAAAAAATATATAATTATCAACACCTTTTTTATTGTGTTTTATAATTGTTATCAAAAAACTGAGCAATTTATCGGGGAAAGAACATAGGCGTATTTTTTTAATATTAAGAATATGCTGGTCTTTTTTTAGCAGAAAAATATTCAGAAGGTTTTGCACCAGTCCAATAAACAAGGCAATTATACATTAAAAAAGGAATTTGTAATAAAAGTACAGCTAACAAGAATTTTTATGTATAGTTAAACTATTTCTATTCTATCAAATTTACATAAGATAGAAAAACTAATGTATTCCAAACCATCCATTCGAAAAAATAATTTGGGTGTCTGCACCATTTCCAAAATCCTTAATCACAAACTAAAGTTTATCTTTCTTACAGAGAAGTATTTTTTTGCCATTATATTTTTTAAAAATCTGCTTTATTTTCTAAATACAAAAACAAGAACCAAAGCATCATACCAATATATTCTAATAGGTGTATATTTTCATTTTTATTTAGGCCTATTATAAGAGCAGGTAAAGCCAAAGAAATTATGTTTGCATAACATTGAATTAAAATATCAATTTAGCACCAAAAAGTGACATTCATATTTTTTTCTTAAAATTTCTGTACTGCATATTAATATCTGGGTAAATCAGGTTTTTTCACTGACCAAACACCTTTTAAGATAAAATTAAGTGCTCCTAAAAACATTCTACCCCCTTAAAATAAATAGCATATTCCTATCATTACTTGACGCGTTGTATTTGCTTTTTCAAAATTTAATAAAACTTACAAGCCAATAGTTGCTAAACCCATTGGCCATGCTATATCTACAAACCACATACGTTTAAATATAAAAGCTGGTATACAAGCTACGGGTATAAATATTAATAGTTAAGCACACATATTAATTTAAAATTATTTTTTTATATCATCTAATTAATTGAAAAGATAAAAAGTTGTTATTCCTATTACAATTAATTTTATGTTATTCATTTTTTATTTATTATTAAATTATTATTTTTTTCTTAAATAAATATTGGAAAAAAATAAAAAAAATTTCTAATATTTATAAACCAAAAATAGTAAATAAAAAATATTAATATTGAGTAGATGGATTAAGAAAACTAAAAAAAAAGAATTTCATATCACTTAATGTCATAATATTAGAAAAAAAGGTAAGTGTTCTATATATAAATATCAATATAGATATACTAAATTAATGAATATCTTTAAAAGCAATTAAAAAAATTATACTAAAAAGTGGATGATGAGTCCCATCTTTTTAAATAAATATTATAGTAAACTAGAAGTAATTCTTAAGTATATTAATAATTTTGATAAAGCTGTGCTTAAAATATAAGCATAAATACCTTTATAAAGAAAATGATCTAATAATCTTATTGTTAATAAAAATTTAGAAAAAATAATAAAATATAGAGAAGAAATAGTTTGACATGCAATTAATAATTTATAATAGATTTACTAAATTACAGTAATAAAAAAAATTAAGTAAATATAATTTTTTTTTAAATAAAATATAATTTTCCTTTTTAGAAATTTAAAAAAATACATATATAGAATAATTAATAACTATATAATAAAAACTAATTAATGAAAGTGAATTTATCTAAATTATAAAATAAACAAATTAACTTAAATTTAATATAGGAAAAATATAAAACATAAATAAATAACTTTACATCTAAAGTAAATAATTAATTTTGTAACAAAGTAGATTAATATGCTTAAATAAAATCAATTATAGGAAATAAATTTGGGAATAAAAAAAAATAATCTATGATTAATTAAAAGATGATGATATTGTATCTATATGAATATAAGAAAGATAAAATATTAAAGACTAAATTCGAGAATAATAAAAAAAAAAATATGATAATACAATTAATTGAAATAATATAGATTCATTACTAAAATAACGAAATAAATATGATAATAGCAAATAATCTATATAATTTCAGTTAATAAAATATAATGAAATATGAATACTTTTAATTTTTAATAAATCATTAATATACAATTAAAATAACAGTAATAAAAAACTATAAATTATCTAGTTATAACAATCTAAATTAATAATAATCAATAAATATAAAAAATTGATGTTCTAAAATAATAATCTGATAATTTATATAAAGTAATAGTAGGAACTAATAAAATGAATAAAGAATATATAACTTAAAAAATAAATAATAATGTATAGAAAAATTATTGGTTGATTTAATGATATAAAACACGGCAATTATAGATTCAGATTTTTATTACTTATATGTTTGTAATAGCTAAGAAAATTAAGATTTTTCATGAGAAGCTAGTACATAAAAATTAAATATATACAATTATTTTTATAATTTAGGAAATGAATAAGAAGTTATTTTAAGCACAATAAATAATATTATGGATTATAATATGGGATAAATATATTTGCGATTGAATTATAACAGGACTAAACATTTAAAATCTTAATATCTAAGAATTTATTTACAAAATTGTAATTTCAAATTATGATGGCGAAAATAAACCGATGATAATACATATGTTGATTTATTTATTTATTTTTATATGTTTCGGTACTTCCATGTTATTAAGTATGTCGCCATGTGTAAATTTATATAACTATGACTAAAGTTAAACCTCTAAATAGTTCTTCAGACTTAAAAGTACATACAAATTTGAATTATTTTTTATCTTATTTTTATATATATATAATATTATTTTTTATAAAATATTTAATTTTATTTAGATAAATTTAAAAATAAGAATATATATATTATGATAATATATACATATAAAAGATACAAATTAAATTAGAAAAATAAATTTTTGAGATTATTTGATATAAATAAAAATATATTTTATTTAATATTAATTTTTTATATACTTTATAATATTAATTTATAAATTAAAATAATCTCTAAAAATTATAAAGCTTTTAATTTTATTTACTAAAAGCTTTTTTAATTATTTTATTATAAAATTTTATACATAAATTTTTTATATAATTCTAATTATTAATAGAATTTATATATAATTAAAGCATTTTTATGTTTTTCATTTGAAAATAGATGGTAAGTTATTTTTGATTTCTTCGACTAAAAATAATAAAAATACTAATATTTTTTATATTATTAATACCTGGCATAAAGTATATTGAATCACCTAATTTAAATATAGTATCTTTGTACAAATATTCTTATGTGTTTAATTTTTTAAATAAAAGTTATAAATTACTTTTAAATAATTGTTTAGCGTCTTATTCGTCTTTAAAATTTGGGAAAAAACAACTTTTTTCATGATTTGGTTTTAAATAAATTTCATTTGTCATAACTAATCGTAGTTTTTCTCTTTAATCTGTTATATTATAATCTATAAAGAGCTTAAATATGAAATCTGTAAGGTTTTCATAAAAATTTCTTTTTTTAATTTCAGGATTTTACATTGGGTTAAAAATATTTATATTTAGATAAAAAAATATTAATAAACAAAAAATTTAATAAAATAAAATATTTAATAATTAAAAAAATAAGATAATAAATATATTTATAAATAAAAATTATTATTTATGCAAGCTATATTTATTTAATATGTAATATTAATTTTATAAATATTATATATTATTTTAAATTTATCATAATTTAATATTTTGCAAATAAAAGATAATTAATTATTAATAATTTTATTTTTAATATATTTTATAATAAAATTTGAAATTTAAATTTTAAAGTTTATTTACACAAGAATAAATAATATGAATTTTTATATATAATAATATAAATTCTATATAATTAAATTTAGTTTATAATAATCAAGCTTAATGTATGAAGTTATTTGTTAATTTTAATTTTTTTACAATTAATTATATTGTAACCATAATTTTAGTCATTTTTATTATAATATATAAATTTTAAATAATTCTTATTAATAATAAATATCCAAATAAATTTAATAAATAATTAAATAAAAATGGATTAGAGCTAATTAATATTTTAAACAAAAGAAAACAGAATAATTGATTTAGAAGAGGTAATTATTATCTAAATTTTAAAAATTTGTTTATTTTATTAAAAATTAGGTTATGAATAATATTGGAGATAACTTTTATTACTAAAAAAGACAACTTCTTTTTATTTGGTTGATGTTTATATGTTTAAGTTTTAATTTCTTTCTTTTGCCTTCAACAACATATCCTCCTTTATTTTTAGACATAAAAGGCTAAATTTGTACAGAAGATGATGTAAATTATAAAAATTTTATTATTTAAAAAAAAAAAAAAGTAGTGGATGTAATGAAGGTTCTACTATATCAGGATCAATATATTAATCTGCTGCTGTCGAGTTTCGACTATATTGTGATAATAGAGACTTAAGAAACGCTTTATAATCTATTTCGATGGTTGGAGCTGGTATAGGTCTTTTATTTATAAATTATTTTTCTGATAATTATAGTAGAAAAAAGTCTATTATTACTGCTTGGATCATAGGATCTATATCTTCAATAATTTATTCTATTACTACTTATGTATCCCTTTTATTTATTTGTAGCTTTGGGGTCGGATTAGGACTGAATGTTTTATTAGTTTTATTTTTAGTCTAAATAAATGAATTGAGTGGTATTTTTTTCTATTTAAAAAAAATTAGAATATTAATTAATTATTTTTTATTATTTAAAATATTATTAAATTTAAATTAAAAATATTCTTATGTATTTTTTTAATAATAAGCTACATATAGAGTTATGGGTATTACTGTAGCTTATGCTATTAGTAGTTTTGGATAAATAGTAATATATCTTATTATTATGATTACTAAAAATTGGAGAGAATAAATATTATATTTTTTGGGTATTCCCTCTATAATTTTATGTGCTTTCAGTTTTTTTATTATTGATGACTAGCCAAGGTTATATTATTTATTAAATAAATTAATTTTTTTTATTATTATTTTTTAGGTTTTTAATTTTAAAAGATACTAAGAAATGTATACAAATGCTAAATAAAATATCATAAGTAAATAAAACAAGTGAATATATGTAAAGCATATAACTTAGAGAAATAAGTACCTAACAAGAAAACAGTGGTAAAGATTTATCAAAGAAATATACATATATTGATCTATTCATTTATAAATCATAATTAAAAATTGTTATTCCTTTAACTTTAGCTATGCTATTTTTAAATACATTATATTATGGAAGCTAGCTTTCTTTAGATAGTGTAGGATTTACATTCTAAGAAAATTGTCTTTATGTTGGTATTTCGGAATTATTAGGATATTTTCTATCAAGTAATTTTTACTTAATATAAATCAATATATTTTTTTTCTAAAAAACAAGATTATATTTGTTAAAGATTTAAAAGGAAAAGATATGGAATATTAACAATTTTGATAACAAGTATATTTCTTATTCTATGTGGTATATTTGAAGTTCCTTTAAGTTGCTTAGATAAAAATTGTTATTAGAAAAATTTATAAATGATTTTTACATGCTTTGCCAGATTCATAGTTTCTTTTTCATTTAGGTAACTTTTACTTAATTTTTTTTATTTTATTTTATTAATTAAAAGCTTTATTTTAATATAAATTGGAGAAGCTTATCCAACTACACTTAAAGCTATAGGGTATGGATTTAGTACAGGATTCTCTTTCTTAGGGGGTGTAGTAAGTCCGTATATTATTGATTTGTCAAATAAAAATGATTTTAATCCTATTATTAGTTTAGCTCTAGTAGGCATATTAAGTTGTGTTTCATTATTTTTTTCTTAAGAAACTTTTGGGAAACCAGATGTTTAGAATATCCCTGAATTAACTCGATAAATACTTTAAAGTGATGGTTTGTAAAACTTGGAAATTTAGAAAAATAAATAAAAAAACATAAATAATATTCAAACATAATGAGTTGAAAGATTTTTTAATAATATATATATTTAATTTTTTATTATTAATTTAAGATGAAAAGTTGGATTTGTATTTATAAATACTTTTTTAAAAATCATTATTTATTTATAAATATATTTATACATTTTTAAGTTTCAATTTAATTAATGTGTTTATTTCAAATTAATTAAAATATAATATTTTAATTTTTTTTATTTATTTTAAAATTATAAGAAAAAAATACTTACAAAAAATTTAAAAAAATAAATAAATAATTAATGAATATATAAAATAGTTAAAGCATATTTTTTGAATAATAGTCAGCTAATATGAGTTATTAGGATAAAATATTTGTAAAAATGCCCCCTTTAGATTCATTAAAAGCTGAATTAAGATAAGCAAGTTAATATTTGGCGGCTCATAAATTATATAATAGTGCAAAATGGTAATATTATAATAATTTTTTAATATTAATTAAAAAAAGGGCAAGTGAATTGCTTTTAGGGATAACAAAACAAAGCGATATAAACGAAAATATATTGTTAAGCAATTTTATAATAAATAATACTAATTAAGCTTATAGATTTCAAACTTAATATTAAGAAATATATGATGATACGTTTGATGCTATTTTAGTTGCTAGAAATTTATTTGATTTGAGGGAATACAAAAAATGTGCTAATATACTTAAAGATTTTATATATAATCCTAAAAACTAATCTGCAATATTTTTATATTATTATTCATTATACATGGCTGGAGAAATTAGAAAAGAAGAAGAAATGTATGAAGAAGGTAAAAAAGTAGTATTATTTTTTTTTATTTTATTTTTAAATAGAATAAAACTCTAAAAGAGTAATAAATTAAGAATTATAGTTAATACAAAGAGACTTATAAGAAATATATAATAGAAATGAACTTTCTGATCTAAATAGATATTTATATGGGTTAGTTCTAAAAGACTAGGAAAGAATTGAAGAAGCTAAAGAAATATTTTTAGGAGTTTTAAATGATTTTCCTTGCTTTTGGTCTGCTTGGATTGAATTATGTAAATTGATTTAATCAGAAGATTCTAAATTATTAGAGTTTAAAGATCATTGGATGAAAAACTTTTACTATAGTAGTTTCTGTTTAGAAAATCATAAAACTAATATATGTATTGAAATTAATTATGGTCTATTGTGCTTTTTTAAAACATCTACTTACTTAATAAATTAAATTGCACATTATTTTTATAATTCTTAAGGTAAAAAATATAAAAAAAATTAAAATATTTATTTTCTATAGATTTTGATGTATCTTTAGAATGGTTTGAAAAGTTAGTTGAAATTGACCCTTTCAGATATGAGAATATGGATACTTATAGTAATATATTATATATAAAGGAAAATTAAGGAGAATTAGCTAATCTAGCTTTAAGATGTTTTTATAACAATAAGTATGCAACTGAAACATGTTGTGTAGTAGGTAATTCTTTATTTAAAAACAATTAATTAACTAAAAAAAAGGAAATTATTATTCATTAATGGGAGAACATTTAAAAGCAGTAAATTATTTTAGAAAAGCTTTAAGATTAGATCGTAATTGTTTAGCTGCATGGACCTTAATGGGGCATGAGTATTTAGAAATGAAAAATATAGCAGGAGCAATCGAGGCATATAGAAATGCAGTTGAAATAGATCCTAAAGATTTTAGAGCGTGGTATGGTTTGGGATAAACATATGAGTTATAAACAATGAATCATTATGCATTATATTATTTCACAAGAGCTGTTATGTCGAGGTATTTTTTTTTTATTTTTAAATATTATATATATATTTTAGACCTAAAGATTCAAGAATGTGGAATGCAATGGGAACTTGTTATGAAAAATTGGGAAAAGCAAACGAAGCTACTCGTTGTTATGAAAGGGCTGAATGTGGAAAAGATAAAGAAGGGATAGCGTTATTTTAAATGGGAAAATTATATTAGTTGATGGGATTTGAAGAAAAGGCTATTTAATGTTTTGAAGAAAATTTAAAAAGAAAAGATGAAGAGCAAACTGTTGATAAAGAAATGGGAGAATGTCTTATTTTATTGGCTACACATTTTAAAAAAAAAATGAATATTGAGAAGGCTTTACATTATGCTCGAAGATTACAAGATATTAATGGGCCAGAAAGGTTTTTTTTATTTATTTATAATTTCAATAAATTTTTATATTTAAAAAGAGATGAGGCTAATAGCATAATTTATGAAATTAATTAAATTATTAATAATCAGTAATTAGAAAATCAAAAGCAAATATAATAATAAAATAATTAATAAATAAAATTTTTATAATAATAAAACTTTATTAAAAATTAATAATTGTTGTAATAAAATGCATAAATATAGACATAATTTTAAGGACAATTGTAATAATAGGATTAATACTAATAACCGTAATAGCAAAGTTACTAATTTAGTAATATTAATGGATTAAATTTATAGAATTTTAAATGAAATTTAAAAAAAAATTATGAATTATTTTGTAATTTTAATAAAATAGTTTAAAATTTAAAAATAATTATATATATAAATTTATTATTTAATAATATGAAAATAAAAAATAATATATTATATTATTTTAATAATAATTCAATTTTATATAATATATTTTAAATTAATATGAAAATGCAAAGACTATATTTCTGATTTAAAATTAATTTATATTAGAAAATTACTTATCATTTATAATATACTTGATTTGTTTTTGAATTCAAATATATATATTTAATAAAAAATAATTAAAAATGAAAAATAATATAAATAAATTTACATAGTTTTTTATATTAAATTATTAAAAATAGTTCAACTAATTTTAATTATACTTAAATATCAATTTTTCGCATTTTATTAACTAAAAAGTTTTAAATATTATATACATAAAAAGCTAAAAATTTTTACATATATACATATTTTTAAATTATATAAACTTAATTAATCTTCATTAATTAATGTATTTAATTTTAAACATATAATAATATTTTATTTTAGTTATAAAATATATGTTTTTTTTTGTTAATATATTAATAAAATATTAAATTATCATTAAAAAATACAGATATTTTATTTAAGAAAAATATTAATATATATTTAAATTAATTGATAAATATATATATATAATTATTTTTATTTAAAAGTAATTGTTATTAATATTTTAAATACATAAATATATAATTTATTTATTATATTGTAAAATGATTTTAATAAATATATTTTTTTAAAAAATAAATATAAAATTATTTTATTTATTATAGATCTTTAATATTTTTCCTACAAAGAAAAAATATATAAAAAATTAAATTTATATAAAGTTTAAAAACTAAATACATTCCTCCATAAAAAAGCCCAAAAATTAAAAAAATATTCAATTATTCTTTAAATTAAAAAATAATAATTCATTTAATCTAATAATAAAAAATATTATAAAAAGTATTTGAATAAGGGTCTTGGTTAGTACTACGAAAATAAAAATTTCGAAAAAAAATCTATTAAAATCCGAAAGTACGCTCATTTTTTTCAGCAGATATAATTCGCTAAATATTTTTAAACAGTGTGTCAAAAAATATTATTTTTTCACAATTGTCAATTCACTATTTTAATTTTTATTAGAAGAAAAAAAAAATTATAAGGAAATTTGAAAGAAAAAAAATATATGCAATAAAATTCATTATTAAAGGAATTTTCTTTAATGAAATACTAACAAATTTTTTTGTAGGTTAAATCGATAATTATGTTATTATTTTTATATAATTTTTAATGATTAATATATAAAATTATAATATTTTTTTTTATATAAATTAAAATAATATTATAATACATATTTTTTAATTTTTATAAATATTTGTAAATTATATATAAATTTATATAAATAAAAAAAAATATTTTAAAAAATAGATTATATTTATTTAATTTTTTTTTTTATTTAATTATTTTTAAATAATTTTTTTATTTATTAAATATTTTATTATATTTTTAATTATTATTTATGAATTTTAATTAATATTCAATATTTTAATAAATTATTATAATTATTATTTTTTTTAAATAATTTAATTTTTATTTTATTGGGATTAATTATTAATTTGGGTTTGAGTTTGGGGTTGGGGTTGGGGTTGGGGTTGGGGTTGGGGTTGGGGTTGGGGTTGGGGTTGGGGTTGGGGTTGGGGGGCCATGGGGTTGGC